CCTCAGATATATGGTATTCTATTGTTCAGGGTTCCTTGTCAAGATGCTGGGATATTTAGAATTTTTTATTGGAATATAACTTGTATGTATGGATGGCAATATAACTTTTTTAATGAATTGTACATAATTATGAAGAATTATTTCAATTTTCATTCTACTATATAGTTTGTTCTCTTCTGATACCCTGTTTATTGTTGTACAGATGTATTGGCAGGTAAGTTTGAAAACACTATATATATTGTACCAATATTGTATATAGGTAAAGTATTTTTGAAGTAAAACAATGATTATTTTTTATTAAATCATCTTATTGAAGCTACGAACTTCACTAAATATGAGAAGATGTGTCTATTATTGCCACAAATTAAACCACAGGAATATTCAATACCAATATGTATCTTTTTAATTTATATTCAAGTCAACATTTTGAATGAACTTTATTATTATTTATTATCATTCTATAATATCTGTTCAAATGCCCGTTTCCTCCTCAGATGCTTCTTCATCATCAGGTCGTGTTCCTTAAGGCAGGAATTCCTCTTCAGCATCATATTCCAAACAACATTGATGAGTCTGAAAATATAAAAATATTGTCCCTAGTTTCAATGTCCTGTACCATTCTGAAATGAATATAATGACTTTTGACTATGGAACAACTTTTAGAGGAATCAAAGTTCTTGGTAAATTTCATACCGAAACTAATAATTAGTTAGTTAGTATAGGTACAAACTTGTTAAATACCATTTTATTTATATATTCCTACCTTGAACAAACTTGGAACCATACTCTCTTTCCAAAACCGTTTCCTATTCTTCATTGGCAAGAAACAGTTCCCTTAAAATGTTGGAAACATATAGTATCATGTTCGTTTACTTCAAAAACTCACATTCCTGAAATATAAATATCATTAAGTTTCAAATATTATGCGATTCAAGAAAAAAAGTTCACCTTGATATCCAATGAATATGGCGTGAACCCATTGATGCCTCAGGATTTGAGGCTCAAATTCACAACAATGGGGATTGGAGAAACCATGTCTTGATAATTCAATTACACCTTCACCTTCTGGAGTGCGCAGTTTTCAGATGACATTGCAAAATAACACAATCGCACTCACAAACCAATCAACAAACTTTGATAGAAAACCAATACTAGAAGAAATGATTATAGGTATAATTGTTATTTCCAAGAAAGGAAATCAAAGTTCAACACATCCACAAAGACGAAGTTATAAGTTAATGACAACTGTCAGAAAATGATTTTATGATTACATGAATCTTCTCCATCGTCTTCCTATCAAATATCACGTCAATGATGGAAAGCACGTCTGTGGTTGAGTACATATTGGAGAAAAATAGAAGAAGAGAAAATTCAACCTAATATGGTCTATTTTGACATAAACAAATGAGCTCTTTCCAATTTCTCTGCCACAGCGCCACTTGACAGACAGACATATTTTGATTGAATGAACAGACAATATTATACCTCCTCGCGCTAGGTCGCCTTCTAGGTTTTCATTTAGATCGACAATGGGCAAACATTGTATTTTGTCAAGATTTGTCATATGAAACCAGAAGTAGTGGGATCGTTTTCCTTGGAATCCGAGTTGGAACCAGAAAGAATTTCATAATTTCATTTGGTGAAACTGTTATTATATTGTGGATATGGCAGGGATGGCCAGGGCTAGGCTCATCAAAGGTAACCTAACAGATAGTTTGTGTGCCCCTCAAGAAACCATGTCAAAATCGCGTGTTCTGGAATGGTCAATAGGGATTCAAACTGAGCGACACTCCATGTTGCGGACATTCAAGTAACTAATTAGGAGTATATTGAATGTTTGCTACCCCTGCCGGATCTGTTGAAATTGGCACCGTGTGGAGTCAGAAAACCAAGAACCGTAATAGAAGATGTTTTTTCTGTGACGGGAAAAAAGTCTGAAATTTCATCTCTGTTGTCAGGTCATAAAATGTCACTTTTAAAATTACTTCCCCACGGGTTAAAATTACTTCCCCACGGGAAAAAGTACTTTTTTCCCGGATATGTATCACATATACAGGGTGTTTCATAATTGAATGCTGATCCTCAAGGGCGATAATCCTTGGATGATTTCAAAGAGAAAAGTTCGTATCAACATATGTCCTAAACCTCTTAGTTATCGAGCTACAGGGTGATGAAATTTCAAGAAAAAAATTAGTTTTTCATCATAATTTTTTATCACTCTTAGATATTGTTATGATATTTTGTATATACCTTTTCATTATTAAGGAGTATTTTTTTACGTGAAAGATATTTAAAAATTCTCACCAGTGGCGTCCGTACGGGGTTTGAACTGACAATTTTTGAAGAAAAAAACAGTACGCCACTGATTTTTCTAAGAACCAGATTTTTTTTTCAATTCTTATTCATTTTGGAGCAAATTTGGTTCCAAGACTTACTTTCATACAACGTACCGTTTTCGCGTAAAAAAATAAAAACCAAAGAATTTTGTTTCTTCAGTTCTTGGATATTGTTTTTGATAATTCAGTAGACACCCACTATAAGTGGAAACACATTTTGTTTTGGGACGAAAATCAAACTTTTACTTTTACCAGTGATGTCCTCGTAGACCTGATATTGAATGTTTTGTTTAAAAAAACGCTGTACGCTTCTGATTTCAACACCCTGTAGCTCAAAAACTAACAGGTTTAGGACATATTATGTTGATATGAACTTCTCTCCTTGAAATCATCCAAGGATCATCGCCCTTTAGGATCAGCATTCAATTATGAAACACCCTGTATATACACTGTTGATGGCTTTAGTTGTGCTTGTTCCGAAAAATAAGCCAATAACACCGTCTCCTAGAAAGAACTGCAAGTCATTTGATCTTCCATTCGACTTCACGGCTACGCGTCGGGACAACACAACCTGGAGCTGAAATCTACTACTTTTTTCCCTTGTATAATAAATAACTATTTTTCACATTCAGAATTCCATGCAGGGTTTATCGATGTTGTAAGTCGGTATGCCATTTGAGGGACCCACTTACTTAGTCCAAGTTAACAGGAAGGAGTGCCTCAGAGAGTCGCAACCCAGTCCTTTCCCCGGCCCTGTCCTCACCTTTCGGTTGGAAAATAGTTCAAAATTTTGTTTAAGAAGAAGCTCGGCAATGAAGTGCAATGATTCTTATCTCACGTAAATTGGGGAGCTTGCCGGTTTGCATACGCCTAGGCCACTCCCCAAGTGTGGCATACGAACCTGAAGTGGCAATTTTTCAGTGTTATAGTCGATGATCGAAGAATGTATGCCCTTTGGCAAAACAATGAATTCTGACCCATTAATCAGTTTCCCGACATTTGCATACGATTCCGGAGAGGGGAGCTCGACTTATTCGAACATCATTTGACTGGATATCCTTCAAATAATCGATGATAGAAGAAATGTTCAAATTTTGATCATGGTTAGTGGACCACACGGTATATATGAGATGATGGTTTGCATACAATTTGCACATTCCGTACAGGGTAGTTCACCATAAATATCTTCCATTGTAACTTAGATGTTTCTGAACCGATTTTAAAATTTCAAAAACCAATTAAAATGATTTTCCTAAGAGATTTTTCATTATTATTAAAAAATTCACAGGCTGTTCATAACAAATGAACTATGGGGTAGTTGTTAATTTTTTTTTAGTGGAACACTATATTTTATTTCACTATCGAGTTGAGATTATCATGACGAATACAGCTACATCATCTAGCGATATCATTTACACGCAGCACTCTTATAGCGATCATGCGCCAAATGGTCAAATGGTGCCAGAATTATGAATCCCGGGTTTGAAGTATTTTCTTTTTTTTTGCTGTAACAATTTTTATATCTGAATAATGATTTGCTGCGTCAGCCGGGTAGAGTGTAGCACGTAATGATTTAGGCATTCAATAATGTTTTTCCCATTTATCAGAGATCCGATATTCAAACTAATCAAGGGAAGAATTTCAATCCGATCTATTGTGAGATTCTATCATGAGCAATAATCCACCCCTCTTCTCCCTGTACGATCCCTCTTGATCATCCTGCGAGTATTTTGTCGTCAATTTTTTTATCATCTTTTCGAAGCCCCGTTTTTCAAATTGAAATCACACAAAAAAATTTCTTGGCACTAACCCTCTCACACATGTGATTTTGTTGAGCTGTAAATTTCTGATGAATAAATACAAGTATATCTGCAATTTGCGTCTTCGAATACCCCCATCACTCCCAGGAAGTTAATCTTTGACCCGGTTTCATTTGATGTGAGATTATGAGACTTCCAGATTATCTAGTTCGCTTTCGGTGCACCTCTGGCCACCTTACAACGTATGCTCGCATTGAATTCGTATGCAAATAGCATCCAGTTATACAGAATATCCTAGTTTATCGGTTCAGAGATGTGCATACGAACTTGAATCATCGATTATTTGAAAGATGTCTAGTCAATTGATGTTCGAATAAGTCGAGCCCCCCTCTCCGGAATCGTATGCAAATGTCGGGAAACTGATTAATGGGTCCGAATTCATTGTTTCGCCAAAGGGCATACATTCTTAGATCATCGACTATAACACTGAAAAATTGTCACTTCCGGTTCGTATGCAAGCGCACAATTTTCGTGAGATAAGATCATTGCACTTCATTGCCGAACTTCTTCTTAAATAAAATTTTGAACTTTTGTCCGACCGAAGGGTGAGGTCAGGGTCGGGGCAAGGACTGGGTTGCGACTCTCCGTGGCACTCCTTCCTGTTAACTTGGACTAAGTGAGTGGGTCCCTTAAATGGCATACCGACTTAGAACATCGATAAACCCTGTGTTGCGGGCCAACAGTCTATAAGTGGAACTATTCAATGAAACAATAATAAACAGTTGGATATCACAATCAAATCTGTTTAGATACGCATCAAGGAGAATATCTTGTTGTGGAATTTCTCCTTTCCATAATGACAGCAAAAAAACACGAACGACGGCATTCCTCTTCTCGGTTTCAGGCATCGCCTACGTGGAATTCGACACCCGAGAGGCGGCCAAAAAAGCCCTTCTCGCCCTGGACCAGACCACCGTCGAGGGGCAGGTCATCACGGTGGCGGTGAGCGCCCCGCCGCCGCCCAAGGGCAAGCAAGCGGAGCAGGGGGCGAGGGGGGGCGCGGGAGGGGCGGCATCCGGGGAGCCGTGGAGGAACGCGAGGAGCCGGCTGCAGGTGCCGGCGTTGATGGTGCCGAGGGCGGTACAGGCGAAGGGGGCAGGTGAGGAATTATTGGCGTTATTGGTTATACACGCACCACCAAAAAGTACTTGTCCGATTTGGACCTTTTTTTTTTGTTTTCAATGACAGGTTATTTCCTTCTGAACATTGGTTAGCAAACTGTATTCGCATGAAAACCTGTTTTTTCATGAAATTTGAAATACCCTTTAGAGTGTTATAGTTATACTATCGATTTAAAATTGAAATCACACACTATTGTTTGAAATTCACTGTTTCTACCTTATCAAGTTTGCGTTATTTTATTTTTACTAGGGAGTTACTTAAACATTAATATGTTTTTTTTTGTACATCAAGATGGATGGGAAAATATTGTCTATCTCATATTCATAGTTTAAATTTCGCGTATGAAAATGCACGATAATCCTTAAGCGTCTGCGCGAGCTTCCTCCATGTATCAAGGATGCGCCTTGAACACCGCACGATATAGTAATTTTGACCGGTACAAGTTTTCCGACAATAATACATAATTCGCGATAAAACGAGTGAAAAGGATCACTGATTGATCCAGTGATCCCGGGGCGCCCTTCAGCATCAATTTCAAGTACCAGCAAGTGCCTACCAGCCTGCCAGACTGCTTCGACCAGCTTCAACGATATCGACCATCCAGATCCACGAGGTAAGACGCCAAGGTGAATCGTGCTCCGATTTATTTAAATTAATGATTAGCCAATTTTGAACCAGCGAATATCCTATCAGACGTTACTCCGTCCACCACCACATGGAGCCATCTGCCTGGAAGAAGACTCGATAAAAGATCGTATAGCCGAGGTGGTAATAAGCCGTGTGATGGTCAGTGGCGGTTCGTGACTTTCATGACAGAGAAGGCTGAATGATATGAGATTTATTGTGAAAAACAACTCTCTACGACTCACCCAAATCGATAGCTTTAATGACATTCTGTTTACCAGTTAACCTGACCTCAATACTCGAAGAGATGTGTTCCTGTGATTTGTAGTGTCTATCCACACACTCGGCAACATTGTGCTGAATGCTGAGAACTGACAAGACCACGCCCACAAGTCGTGTGCGGGGTTGTCACGTTCACCGATTTTGAGACATTAGGAATATTACCAAAACTCAATTGAGAAATTATGAATTATTGAATAACTAATATTTTATAAAATTTCTAGCAGTAAAATTACCGTGGCATTATAGATGATTTTTGCACCTAAAAATCGACCAAAAAATTCTTTGAAAATATGGAATACATAGGTATTTGAGTGATGATTCTATTAGAAAAATAAAAAAAAAATTAGTCAACTCGCCTATTGGCTATCGGTCGAATTGGCTGAAATTTTACTATGTTGTTGTGGGATGGCTCATTAGAAAAGTATGTGAGTTTGAAAAGTTTTGTATGCTTAGTTTCTGAGATATAAGCCGACAAAGTTTGTAAAAACGTCGTATCGGGGTAGGATTGACAAAGAAAAAAAATAGGACAAAGTAAGGTATAAAATGTATTGATTGGAACTCATAAACATGTCTTGTTATAATCACATAAATTATACTGAATCAGGGTGTATAAGAGGCACGTGGCACATTATTGATGATTTTAGCACCTAAAAACAACCGAAAAAATCTTAAAAAATAATGAATTGAAAGGTATTTGAGTGATGATTCTATTTAAGAAATGAAAATGAATTAAACCACTCGCCTATTGCTGCACCCACTATTCATAGAAAAGAGTTTCTAATGCGAATACAGTTTGCTCGCCAATCATCCAAAACAAAAATCGTCCAAATCGAACAACTAGTTTCGACGAATATTTATCTCAAACTTTTTGATACTTTTTGGTGGTGGTGGTGGGTCAATTTTTTAAAGCAAGTGTATTTCACAATATTCAGCATTTATAAAGTTGTTTTTCTTGCTGAACCGTGTTCAAAACGATTTGGAATCAAGAATTCTCTTGTGTGAGTTATGTCGTCACCAAATAATACGGTTCATTCGGGTTCATAAACTTCAGAAAGAACGGTGGAGAAGTGGGAAAACGTCGAAGTTCTGGGTTAAGAAAGTTTTTTAGTTTTGTTTTTCGAGATTTAAATGGCCAATTTTCTACACCTCTCACAGATATTGGTCAATTTCAAGAATTATTGATTTTAGGTTATGTATAAGCAATAAGAGATTTTGACAGATTTCGTTTCAAAATAGTATGTTTTCTTGAATGACATAATTCACTTCTTCACGCTTGAAAACGATTCGAAATCAATCTTGAACAAAGTTCTACAAGAAAAAACAACATACTTTTTCTCCGCAAACGGTCCGTTACTGATTTACAGAACGTTAAAATTACAATAGTTTCAGGGTTTACATCATACAGTATACCGAGTGTTGTGTAAGAATCGACAAGGCGATATATTTTCATATGTTAATTCCTTGTTCGCTACTTAAACTCTTGTTAAAAGTTCCACAAAATCTAGGGAATTGAAGTATATCCGGAGTAAGTTGGGAGAGATCATCAAAGGAATTTCAGCGCGAGCTGTCGCGCTTTCTTCGAACTTTCAAAGGGACCGACGACCCGCGGTTATGTGTTGTTCCAACTCACTGCCTAGACTATACCAAAAACGATTTCAATTTTTTTTCTCGATAACGGTCGCAGATGCGTAAAAGTTACAATCGACAAAAAAGTTTTAATATATCACTGTAAATTCTCATAATCACTCTACATACTGTATGATTTAAGCCCTGAAACGTAACCTATGTTTCGAATAGGTCGCGTGCACGATGACCGACCCTGGATGTAAAATATTGAAACACAATCTCACTCTTCTGTGAAACATTGAAACACAACCTCACTTTTCTTATTTGTTTACCAAGGAATCAAAGGATTGAAGTAGTTTTTCGAAATATTTTGGTATACGAATCGTGCGAGAGACGAAGGAATATGATTTTTCAGGTAAAAAGTTATTTCACATAGTTTTAATTATGAAACTTTTTCATTATTAAAATTCCTTCTGCCACTTTTGTAAAAAAGACAATCAATCAATATTATTATTATTATATACTGCTAATAGATCGAAAATGTCTACAACACACACGATCATATTTCGTCAGCATGTCAGACCAGTCCTCCCGTTTGATTGCATGAATCCAATCTTCTTGCATTCTTTTAAAAATTTCCCGAGTATTTCTATTAGTTCCTATTGCAGAAGGAATTCCGATGAGAAATCAGAGAAATAACCAAATTTCAAAAATGAACACTATATCTGAGTGACTATAGTAGAATCATAATGTTGTCACAACAAAATGGTTAAAGGGTTGTTTGTTGTCACAACAAAAGAGTTGTTTTTGTTAAAAATAAATGTCACGATATAGGGATGTTTCCACCATGTCACAACAAAATAGTTAAAGGGTTGTTTGTTGTTTAAAATGAATGAATATTTTTTTACTTAGTTTTTGTAGATCAAACCGAGGCAGTCCAGTTTTCGCATGCTGGACCGTTCGCAAATCCTGGCCAGATGCCCTATATAAAAAAACATTTTTATATTCATTACTTAAAATAATGAAAACTGTCCCACACGATATAAATAGATGTTTAGTCCATCCATATCTATTAATGAGAGGTAAATGCTTGGCTTAATAGTTTGCGAGAGATAATATTCAAATAGGCACTAATAGTTTAGGGGTAACTGAAAGTATGAGATTATATTCAAACATAACAATATTTATTGAAGCATGCATGAAACATTATGGGTAAAATGATTATAAATATGAATGAAACAACAAAGAATATAAAGACCTAATAACAACTTACATTATAACGACCATTACGACGAGCTCTTGTCAAGTCAAGAGTAGCCCCATACCAGACTAACTTCGGAACCCTCAGATCCAATATTTATATACAACATTTTATTAGATATGCACGTTTCTCATGAGAGTTCCTTGGTCAGTTTTTATAATTCAATGTCAACGGATGATTTGATTTACTTTATGTTTATAAAACCCTCATGGTTCGAAATTACTGATATACCGTATGTTCTACTCGTGACAATGTACCAGCCGGATTCCTTCGTCTCCCGCTGCATTTTTTCTGCGTTGTACATCAGCACAATATGTGCTAATTTATAAATAGCCGAAAAACACGATTCGTATGCAAAAATAATTGTGAAAAACTATTTCAATCACTTGTAAACAAATAAGAAAAGTGAGGTTTGTGTTTCAATGTTTCTCCTCAAGGGTCGGTCATCTGACTGCAACGCAACTGCATGCAACCCATCGGATCTGAATATTCCGAAAACTGGGTTATTTTCGATATAAATGACAAAACTATAGTAGGTATTATGTCCTTTTTAACAAGTTGAATTATTAGGTAAATCGGATCCAAGTGCGAATGGAGGTGGAACTGGAGAGGCCCCAAAGAAGAATTCTGATTTCCGAGATATGCTTCTCAATCTCAAGAAGTAACTTTTTTTAAACGTGGCTGTTTTAGCTCCGAATGTTTTTATATCTTAGTTCGATTTAATGTTGTATCGCTGAATAGAAATATAGGGACTATTATTGTCTTTTTTGTGTACCTGCGTCAATCTACGACAAAAAATCTTTATGGTAATTTGGCGAAACACTGTTCTAAGACTTGCAAGTGAAGCTTCAATTCAGATTTTGGTAGGTATTAAAAATGATCACTTCAGAGGCTGTTGCGGAAAAATAAATTGTATATTAACCCTTTCGCTCATACTGTCTTCAATTGAATAAATTAAATTCCTTAATTTTCTTCTGGGTAGTTAAAAGTTTTTTATCCCGTCATTTCACGATGTATCCAATCTAATATTCATAATATACAGGGTGATTCAAAAGTAAGCGGCATCCTTTCAGAGGCGTATTCCTTGCTTGAAAATAAGGCAAAAAGTTCCTATTGATAAGGATCCGAAAATGCTTCCTAAGGGAGCTACGGCCCTTTGAATAGGACACCTCAAAGACGGTTTTTTCTCTATAACTTTAAAATCCTTCACAACAAATTTTTAAAAATTGGTGTACGGCATAAACATTCGATGGTAAATAGGACTCCGTATTCGAAATTTCAGAATTTCATTCAGGGGCGTCACATGCGGAAGAGGGTAAGTGTAAAAATATCCCTTCTTCTCCGGATATTCAGGTTACTGTGATTTCGTTTGGAAATTATTTCGAATACGGAGTCCTATTTACCATCGAATGTTTATGCCGTACACCAATTTTTAAAAATTTGTTGTGAAGGATTTTAAAGTTATAGAGAAAAAACCGTCTTTGAGGTGTCCTATTCAAAGGGCCGTAGCTTCCTTAGGAAGCATTTTCGGATCCTTATCAATAGGAACTTTTTGCCTTATTTTCATGCAAGGAATACGCCTCTGAAAGGATGCCGCTTACTTTTGAATCACCCTGTATAGGAACGATGTTGTAGGTATGCTGAAATAGAGTTCACACTGAAGAGCTCTTATTTATACAGGGTGTTACAAGAACTATGGGATCAAACTTCTAGGGGTTATTCAGTGCAACAGTATAAAACATTTGGTCCCATGTCCGGAAAAGTGTCACTACGGCCCTAAGACGCGTTAAAATTTAGAAAGACGATACATTGCCTAAATAGGATTTAATGCATTTAATTTTTGTCTTTTTGTACATATCATCACAACAATTGTTCAAAATGTCTTCCTCCAACCTGAATACACCGATTTAAACGTCGCACATGTTTTTGGCGGACTTGACTAAACATTTGATCCTCGTTTTCAACGATTTCAAATGGTGCTGTAATTTCTCCAGTTAAGTCTTGCTCTGTTTCTACTGGAGTTCCGTAGACCAAAGACTTCACATGTCCCCACAGGAAAAAATCTAGCGACGTTAAATCGGGTGACCTAGGAGGCCAAAAAACTGCTCCACCTCTGGCAATCCAATGGTGCCCAAACCGCTGATCCAAATCACGTACTTGTACAAAGTGCAAAGTGAGCCGGCGCTCCATCATGCTGAAACCACATTTGCTGTCGAACGTTTAGTGGAAAATTCCCAAGAAGTTCTGGAAAAACTTCCTCCAAGAAACGCCCCGGTAAATAGGGCTTGTTAACCGTTCCAATCAAATGACCATCAACAATGCTTGCCCATACGTTGACAGGCCAACGTTGCTGATGTTACCTAGGAAAAATTGCATAATTTTCTTCGTCCCAAACATGGCTATTCCTACTATTAAAAATACCGTATCTTGTTAGAGGCTTCATCATCGGTCCATAAAACAGCAGATTACTCAATAACCCCAATCACAATCATTTTGGGGCTTTCTCCGTCTCCAACCGTACTTAATTTTGGCACCATGAAAGCTTATACAGGGGGGTTAGAAATAAAAACAATTGATCAACATCCTGTATCTCAAAAACGGAGCAGGTTAGGACACATGTTTATATGAACTTTAATTGCTAGAATATCACAAGGAATCTCCCGTGGAATTTTTTCTGCGTTATTTGATGACATAGCTGTGGATACAAAGGCTTGAACATTTTTGAAGTATTCATTTGAATACATGACCAGACTTCTCCCTCCAATAATAACAAGTCGTGAGCAAAATGGCAACACCCACTAATTCCATTACCTATCTCGAAAAATTTAGCATTTCAGAAAATGCTAACGTTTTCTATTTTTTTTCAATCCGTAGGTATTCATCGAAAAAAGGAAACTTCCAGGATTGATTTTCTCTTATTCCCAAATTTAGTGCTGACAACCAAATTATGAAGGGGAGAATTATGTTTAAAAGGAGAAAATTAAGGGCTGGAATCATAATTTGTTGGTAGGGTGGAGTAAAATGAAAAAATAGACGGTTCTAAAGAGTCTCAACATTTTAATATCACTCTTGCACTAAATATCATCTGATGCAAACCTGCAAAACAATTCGAAGACAAACCATAAAATAATCTAATTACAAAAACTAACCAAATGAAAACTGAAGAAACAGCACAACTAGCAACCTTACAATATAAATAATTGTACGATTTCGAGATCGCCAACAAAATTGGCACCCGAATTTCATCTCCCTGATAAAAAAGAAACGTATGAAATTACGAAACCTATTTGAGCTTTCCCGGAAGCAAGGCACATCTGGATTTTTACAAAATACTCGTCAGAGAGTTGTTGGGGCACAAGGAGGAAGTCTGTTCACTTCACACTGCCACAAAATCATAGAAAACCACGATTAGTTTCCAAATATTGGAAAACAAAGTGGAAACATTTGTTGTTTTAGCATCTCATTGATTATTTTTTTATAACCTCGAAAAATATCTTCATAGAAAAGTAAATTTTCCGAAATCTTTGTACACTGGATATTTGAACTGAATTCTGAAAGTATTCAATTATCCACGAGATTCAAAATTCGAGGCTATATGATCACAAATATATTTTTTTGAATTATTGACTGTGATGTTCAATTTTCTAACATCATTGAAAAATCTGAAGATGGTCATGGAAAACTTCATTTTTCCATAATCATCCCGTGGATCATTCAACTGCTAACATTTTCTGAAATATTAAAATTATTTTTAAAAGTATAGGAAACCGGGAATTAAATTCCTATGGAAATTCCCCAAATTTCAGAATTCTAATTTTCAGGGAGTTTCAAGATTTTACAGATCATCTGGTCGTACATGTAGATTGAAATATGACTTATATTTTTACTTTATAGGAACAAGAAATTCCCAAAAAATCTGGAATAATTAATAAAAACTTCATGTTTCCCTGAAACTATGAATAAAATTATATAAAAATGATGATCAACTTAAATGATAGATCATGTGGACATTTTTTAAGGAAAATTGTCCACATCATCACAATCATTTATAATAGAGTAAGTAGTTGTTCAGGTACTTTTGGGAGAGAAAAAAGTAAGTCTTTCCATTCTGTCCTCTTCAGGGTGCCAACGTAAAATAATGAAAATTCAAAGTTGGTAACAATAAAAATGACAGAATATAGAGAAGGCCATCTCAATATCAGTTTAAAAAAGGTTAGAATGAAGATTTCTCCTATTATTTAGTATTACCAACATTAAATTTTCATTATTTTACAAAGGAACCCTGATGAGGACAAAATGAGATGTCATCTTTCTCTCTCCCTGCTAACTGAACTTCTTTATTACCAAGTATTTTTCAGTGAAACAGAACCATTCATATCTCAAAGTCAATGAGATGCTAAAACTTTTCAAGAAATAAACGTGCTTTGATAATGATTGCAAGATAATAATAATAATAACATTTATTGGTCAATTAAGTGTTAGTTTGCAAGATTAATTTAATTGAAAAAATAGTCTTGCAAGAGTAGTATAATTGGAAGAATAATCCTGCAAATGAGATCTAGGTGTTGTAACAAGCCTAATTGAAAGATTAGTTTGTAAGTTAATTCATAATTGCAAGATTCAATCTTCAAATAAATCTTACAATGAAGCTAATTCATGTCCGTCAAGCATTACCTGTAAAATTAACTTTTGCAAATAATCTAATTGCAAAATTAATCTGCAAATAGATGAATTGTAGAATTAATCTTGCAAAACTAATGTGCAAATATATTGCAGAATTAATCTTGCAATCAGAGCTCGTTAGACAAATTAAGACCATATCAATTAAGTTCTGAAGCAACATTAGGTTAATGTCAATATTAATTTTTAAAATGAAGTTTATAATTGCAAGGTATCTTACAAATAGATTGATCTTACATTTATGAATTATTTAACTAATCAATGTTGCAATTTGCCTAGTTGCAAGATTAATGTGACAATTATTTTTCCTTAATTGCAAGATTAATCTCCCAAATAATGTAAGATTGATCTTGCAAATAGCTGTCAATTGAAAATATATGATGCAACAATTAACTTAGTTGTGAGATCAATCTGTTGATTGAAGTTAACTGCAAGATTATTGTTATAATTCAATTGTGAGATTAATCTTGAAATCAGTAATCAATTGGCATATGAATATTGCTTAATTGACTTAAACATCTGGCATTTGTGATTCGGAACGAGAAAAATTGTATATATTAGCGTCATCCATCATGGTTTTGTTGCAACAATTAACCTAATTGCAAGATTTACCTGTCGATTGAGTTCCTACTGCAAGATTATCCTTATCTAAAGATTAATCTTGCAAATCAGGGCTGATTAGACAAAGTATATAAAGAATACCTTAAAAATAGATTTATCTCACATTTAAAAATGATTTGACCAATTAACCTGGCAATTAGCATAGTTTCATGTGTCAATTGTTAATCCTGAATTGGAAGATTAATCCAATTAATCTGATATTAATTCTGCAATTGGAGCCCAACTGACATGTATGTTGGAACAATTAATGTAATTGCAAGATTCATCAATCAATAGCACTATTGACATATGAATCTTGACTGTAATTTAGATTCGAAAGGAAAAAAAAAAGTATCCGCATTTTAAAGACTTTTCACCATCGTTTTGTTGCAACTATTAACTTAATTGCAAGACCTACCTGGCGATTGAGCTCTAACTGCAAGATTATCGTCAACAATTTGAAGATTAATCTTGCAAATCAGGGCTGATTGGACAAATTATTGTTATTTTTGAAATTAACTACAAAATGATTATAACATACCTTACAAATAAATTGATCTCACATTTTTAAATTATTTGACCAATTAACCTGGCAATTATCACAGTTGCAAGATTGATGTGTCAATTGTTAATCCTGAATCGAAAGATTAAACCAATTAATCTGATATTAATTTTGCAATTGGAGCCCAACTGACAGATGAATGTTGTAACAATTAATCTAATTGCAAGATTCATCAATCAATAGCACTATTGACATATGAATCTTGATTGTAATTTCGATTCGGAACGAAAAAAAAAGTATCTCCGCATTTTAACGACTTTTTACCATCGTTTTGTTGCAACAATTAACCTAATTGCAAGATTTACCTGTCGATTGAGCTCTAAGTGCAAGATTATCGTTAACAATTTGAAGATTAATCTTGCAAATCAGGGCTGATTCGAAAATTATTGTTATTTTTGAAATGAACTACAAAATGATTATAACATACCTTACAAATAAATTGATCTCACATTTTTAAATTATTTGACCAATTAACCTGGCAATCAGCACAGTTGCAAGATTGATGTGTCAATTGTTAATCCTGAATTGAAAGATTAAACCAATTAATCTGATATTAATTTTGCATTTGGAGCCCAACTGACAGATGAATGTTGTAACAATTTATCTAATTGCAAGATTCATCAATCAATAGCACTATTGACATATGAATCTTGATTGTAATTTCGATTTGGAACGAAAACAAAAGGTATCTCCGCATTTTAACGACATTTTACCATCGTTTTGTTGCAACAATTAAGCTAATTGCAAGATTTACCTGTCGATTCAGCTCTAAGTGCAAGATTATCGTTATCAGTTTGAAGATTAATCTTGCAAGAACTGAAAATCAGGGCTGATTGGACAAATTATTGTTATTTCTGAAATAAACTAAATCCAAAATGATTGTAAGACCTGGCAATTAGCATAGTTGCAAGATTGATGTGTCAATTGTTAATCCTGAATTGAAAGATCAATCCAATTAATCTGATATTAATTTTTTAGATAATTGCACTATACCTGCAAAATTAATCTTGCAATCAGTATTCTATTGACGTTTGAAACTTGATTGTAATAATTAGGATTTGAAACGAAAAAATAAGTAAATTATCTTGCAATCACTCAACAGACGTATGAATCATGTTCAATCAAAATCAACTCAAAATTCTCGAGAAAAAATGCATTGTTTCGAGTTACGGCGACTTTCCACCAATCGTTTTGTGGCAGTACGACCTAAAAACCCTCCTCATCCCCAAAACACCCCCCGACGAGCACCCCTTTGATCGATTACCGACACGAGGGGTAGGGGGAGGGGGGGGGTCGCGGTTACATCTGCAGATCGCCCTGCTCCTTCTCGCGCTGCCTCACCGCCACCGCCGTCTCCACTAGCAGGTACAGGCACTTGAACTTGTCCTCCTCCTCGCCGTCGGTCGTCAGAGGGTCGGAGGTCATCAGCTGCTCCACCGAGTGGGAGGGCATCACCTGAAAACGGGTCTTTCATTGAGGAATTCGTTCAGAACGGTCTGAGAGAACGGACCGAGTGCGAGTGATGAGACCCGATGGACCGAAACAGCGAGTTTGCACGAAAGTGGTGAAATCAGCTGGCATTTAGAGAAATAGTTATTTATTATACAAGTGAAAAATATATTAGATTTTAGCTCTAGGTTGTGTTGCCTCCCGACGCGTAGCAGAGGGATATAAAATACCGAGAGCTAAAATCTAATATTTTCCCGTGTATAATACACAATTTTTTTCTGTGACAGGAAAAACGACGATTCAAATAATTAATTGAAGAGCTTTATTGGATACCCAAAATGCTACCGACCGAGGTCCTTCAGCCTGTTACACAGTGATTATACATTGAGTTTAAATTCATTATTATTGTATGTACATACAAGATATATGGAATTATAAATTTGCTAGTGTAAACAAAAAAGAAGAAAAGTCTGAGGCAAGAATTTTGAAGGAATTTCAGTCTTCTGAATTGATTAAGCATTCCAATAGTGTTTTCCGGAAACTTCCGTCTTGGGTTCACTGTTGGATCTCTCTGTAAACACTGGAATTGGATAATTTGGAGATTGGATTCGTTTTTGGAAAACTTCTAGGTTAGCTTTTTCAGTCTCTCAGGTCAGCCGATATAGAAGTTCGTTTGATGGATGGTGAAAGGAATTTTGATTGTGCCGGATTTTGATAATGGCTCTCAGGCTAGCCCATTCTGTTACTTCCAAATTGTTTAGTGCCGTCTTCCTCGTGTTTTTGTATATTCGCGATACAAAATAAGCGCACGCCACCTATCGGAGTTATTGAAAGCTGTCAAAGCGGCATGTTTACTTTGGATTTATTGGTTCACATTTGTTTTTTGTTTCTGCTCATTGGTCATATCATCAAAAGAAACCGCTCAGAAGTGTTCAAGTTATTGCCGTCAGGTGGAGCGACGTGTTATTTTCTATCGCGAATTGGGTGAGCGCAAACTCAAGAATTGGGCGGCAAATGGTTTTGTAAATATGTGCTGCAGTTCTTTTGCTAGTTCCTTTATTCTTGTACTTAGGTAGGTTGGTAGGATCGTTAAGTTTAGTTTTTGATCTAAGTGCACTCCCAGATATTTAACTAATGCCCTAGTTCTCACTACATGATTGTTCACAGTTACCGTGGGTGAATCATCTGATATTTTTTTATTGAAGAGTATCAGTTGGGATTTTTCTGGATTTGGTTTTAGCCTCCACTTGTCACACCATCTCATAGAGTCCCGTATTGCGTTTTGTACCTCTTCAACTGCTTTTTCAAGTGATTTATGATGACTTATAATGGCTGTATCATCAGCAAATTGTATGCCATAGATGAATGTGTTTTGATTTTGTAGATTTTGATTGTTCCAATTGAATATGTCAAAACAGTATATATTGTAGAGAAATGGAGACAAGGGTGAGCCCTGAGGGAGTCCTTGATGCGGGTGGAAAATTATTGATTGTGCCTGATGTACTTTTATTTGCAGGGACCTTTTGTCTAGGTAATCCTTCATCAAGTGTATTAATGTTTAGGGCAGTTCAAAGTACATAATTTGTAAAGTATTCCTTTGTGCCACACGCTGCCAAAAGCTTCGTTAATGTCAAGAAATATAGCTGCACTACGAAATCCGGAAAGTTTGCTTGTTTGTATATTTGATAGGAGGACTGAAATTGGGTGAATGGTTCCACATTTGTGTCGAAGTCCATACTGGTGAGTAGGGATATGAAGATTCAATATTGAGAAGATATTAGATTATAATAAAATCAGAAAATTATCGATGTGATTTGAAGTTTCCAACTGGTAATACAAATGTTTTCAACTTTTTGTAGGCATCTTTATTGTTGCAATGGAAACATTTTGAAGCAAATGAATGATTTGGTTCTGTTTTGATTTTGAAAAATTGAAGTGGCATGGAAGATAAAATAACTGTCTGTTCTTTCTCAGAGGCGGTGTTTGTGTACATATATATCCGGGAAAAAAGTACTAACACAATTTATGAAAAGTGACATTTTATAACCAAACTTCTTTCTAGTTTAGTTGAAATTCATGCTTCATTAAATGTGGCTGTTTTTGTTATATAAATAAAAAATACCAAGGATGATAGACAATTTTCAATGACCATATACAGGGGGCGCCTTTTGAAAGTAAAAAGTGGGGAAAAGCTACTTGAGAACTGTGGAATGTAAAAGAGTGTTCAATGCAGCTTTAGAATTATTCAATTAAATTGTCAAATTAGCAATATAAATACCATAAAATTGGGACACCCGTTATGTTTCACATGGCAGAAACGAAGATTCAATGCCTTGGCTATGGATGGATGGATGGGATGGATGGATAAATAAATAAATAAATAAATAAATAAATAAATAAATAAATAAATAAATAAATAAATAAATAAAATACATAGTGTTCCATGCAAAAATTTCAGAATTTTATGATTAAATCAAATGTTGCTGTGGGTCAGGATTAAATTTTCAGGTACTTGATATCTATTTATACCAAAATTGATTTCAATTCTTCAGGATGCTTTTCAAGATATAGAACAAAATATTGAAAAATTTCAATGGAAAATTGAAAAAAATCAGTATTGCCTGCAAAATTACAGGCAATATTTTGATGGACTTTTTTTCAATTCAAATTGTTTGGATAAGATTATTGGTGAGTACAGTTATTGGAGAATATTTTACCAATAGTGATTACAATTTGTACAGAGTTATCAAAATAAATACAACAGGAGAATTTTGAAAATGTCAACCAAATTTTGTTAGGTAATTTTTTCCTGTGTAAAAATCCCAATGTTTCTTACCTGTACTTTTGGAGTGGGGATAGGGTTTGTAGGTTGCTGCAAGTGACTCAACTGGGGATGTGGGGCCATCCAGTACTCATTATTACTCAAGTCTTCATAGTGCCTGAAATAAAAGACAATCATAAAAAACCATCCAAGAACCAGGAATATTGCATGTACTCACCCTCTGCTAGCAGGATGATTGGAATTATTAGAAACCCCATAGCGAATGACAGTCTGCCAGGGGGTGAACTTCTCCTCCTCACTAGGACTAGAACTCTCATACTCATTGGGGCTCTCCTCCTCAGAACGGTACATCAAGGTCATGCTGTCCTCATAATCATGATCCAAGCGCACCCTCTTGCCCCCAATAGTCTGCAACTCCCCATTCCAGTTCACCTGGGGCTGCTCCACCATCCCGCCAATTCCGCTTAACTTCTTGCCCCTTCGAGATATGGTGTAGTGCAGGGGATCATGTCCTTCACGCCTTATCATTTCCGGTAAGATCCTCCGTCTGGCGTTGATGAACCAGTTGCAAACTTGCAGGACAGTGAGATTCGCTTCTTGAGAAAGTGTCAGCTTTTCAGCGTCGCTGGGATAGGCGTTGTAGCGGTGCTCGTAGAGCCAACGCTTCAGGATCTTGACAGAGTGCTTGGGAAGGTTCCCGCGCCGCTTTCGGACTGTGGCGCCCAGGGCCAGGTTGACCATATCCAGCTGGCCTTGCTGGAGCTGGAGGTGCTCCTCGTGCTCCGGCTCGGAGCCCGAGTCATTTTCGTCGGTGCTGCTGCTGGATTGGAAGCGCTCGCGGTCTGTAAAATAAGCGTTCATCTTGGAAGCAGTTGGGAAAAGGGGCTGATAAACAATTTTATTATGACAACAGGAAACATGTGAAGTTGTGATGACAGACAGTTGACAAAATCTCTGCCACCTTTGGCATTTCTAGTTTCAAAAATGTTTCAAAATCATGGCCTACATATTTATAAATATATAACCTCACAATATGAACATTATTTTCGGGTGGTAACTCACATAACGATCTGGGAATGATATTGTTTTCATAATTTTATTCATCAGATTCTATACTGTTGATCAAGAAGTAAAATATATTCCACACAATGTTTTATAATTGTTAAATGCCGAGAACACGTGAACTCCCCAAACAAATATGATGACAACTGACGGAAATGGCTACCTCGTGGCCGCATTTTTTGTATAAACCGCCTAAACAATATTAATGAAATAAATTAAGTGTCAGTGAAAATTAGAACACATATATATTCAGATGGAACGAAATGATTTGAACAGAAATCTAACAAACATAAATGAAGTGATAAGCCTGTACTTACGATTTTTCATTTTCCAAGTTGTGTTGACAGGAGCGATGAGCATCAACAACTATTAAATATTATAATTTACGTAACAGTCGTGACACGAATTTCGTCCAGAATATATATTATAATAAACACTATAAATATGAATCCATAATATACTCGAACCGAAAAAGCATGAAGAAACTGGCATCAATTCCGTTGGGAAAGGATATGCTGTAAAGTCCTTCAAGATTGTAGAGAACAGTATTTTTCTCTTGATAAACTTCTCCTGAACACTACACTAACTAGCCACTGAATACCCTTTATAGCCGTTGAAAAAATAAATAAGAAACAATCAATCACCAAGTAAATTTATTGCTGTTGGAAAATAATTAAAACCACGCGTGTTGCTTAAAAATTGACAGCTCTTATGGCGGGCGGTCAAACTTGACAAGGACTTGCAGTGTTGTTGTTATTGAATCCGACGTCTTTCATTGGTCGAATTTGGATATTTCAAAATGGTGGTTTCAAGTATTTCCGGAAGTGACGAAACAAATATTGACATTCCATGTCATCTGTCATGATGAGTTTGTTCGGATGTTCGGCGTATCTCTGTTCGTACTACTTACACTTCTGAGGGATATTTCATTCACATTACCCGTGGATTGGTTTAAGTGGTGGGAGGCAACTACGTCATAATGACGTCAACATTAACCATTTTTGAATTCCTATTTCTTTCACTTTACCCAGAATGATGGAAGTAAGATATGGGCTATATTCCGAATTCAACTGGACAGTACTGTCAGTAGATCCACTGACTCTGCTGATAAGCTGTATTCCGAAATATAAAATCAAAAATACAGTGCTGTAATTCGGAACACGTTTTTATCAGTAATCAGCAGCAGTTGATCAGCTGGTGAAATTTGTCAGTTGTCATTGATCTGGCAGATGCTCCTGCTTGAGATAAATAAATAACAGGCATTTTCTGATATCAAAATGATATTATTAATGTATTGATAGGCTTGTTCGTTTGTATTGCTGAACTTGCTGAAGTTGATTTGTTTCCCATTGTTGTCTCTCTTCATGGCATAGGTAATGTAAAGAGAGAAAGTCATAGAAAAAAATCAAGTTTAGCAGGTAGAACAAGCACAAACGAACAGGCCTATTGATAGCAAGTTCAGCAATAATACAAACGAACAGGTCTAATGAAACTGGTGAATTGTTCCTGTACTGAGTGTAGCTATGTTGGCATAGCATTTAGGTGAAAAACGGTTATGCGTATTTTGCTCAGTTTTGTGTCACTTGAAGAAAATGCACCTAGTGCTTGTGTCATATGTCAGTTGTCATTGCGATGGCACGTCAGCTGAATGTCGGCCAATCATCAATGGACGGGTGATTTGATAACTTTTCTCGAGTGGTGTTTGCGTGTCATGTATTTGAATAAAAAACATGGTTCAAGCCGGTTCGAAGAAAGCACCTCCCTCAAAAATAAATAGTAAAGCAGGAATAAGCAGTTTAATAATATTTGTCGTCCTCCTCCTAGCATGGATCGCCGGTTTCTCTTCACGGCTTTTTGCCGTAATAAGATTCGAAAGTATTATCCATGAATTCGACCCTTGGTACGTGCCCCTCAGATTATGGTTTGCTGTTCTCTAATTGCCGTGTTTTTCAGGTTCAATTACAGGGCAACTGCTTACATGGTAAAACATGGATTTTACAATTTCTTGAACTGGTTTGATGAGAGGGCATGGTACCCTCTGGGACGTATCGTGGGGGGAACGGTGTACCCCGGCTTGATGTTGACATCAGGCAGTATACATTATTTGTTACATTTACTTCACATCAACGTTCACATTCGTGACGTTTGCGTTTTTTTAGCGCCCATATTCAGGTATAAAATGTTCTTTAACTATTCCAGATTTCTTGCATTGTTGGTAACAATTTCTTTATTTTCAGTGGCCTTACTTCAATATCCACCTATTTTCTAACTAAAGAACTATGGTCTCCAGGTGCTGGTTTATTTGCTGCCTGTTTCATTGCCATTGTGCCTGGTTATATAAGTAGATCAGTGGCTGGAAGTTATGATAATGAAGGCATTGCCATTTTTGCATTGCAGTTCACCTATTTCCTCTGGATCAAAGCTGTCAAGACTGGGTCCGTGTTCTGGGCAGTTGCTGCCTCATTATCATACTTCTATATGGTAAAAATCAAAAAATTTCTAATCTGAATTGTGGATCATTCCAACATGGCAGTTCCATCTATCTAAAAATGCCTTGTTGTATGTGTTATGATTTTTGTGTGGTGTGACCATATTATTTGACCATATCTCAGTTAAAAAGGGTTAAGACATTGAATGCTATTTGTTGGTAGCAGTTGAGTCAAATTGAGTGTCTTTGTCAAATGCATTGTGTTTTGGCAATGTTAATTATAACTAGTTTGTTAATCAGAGAGTACAAGTTGTTTTTGCTCTTATATTCAACTAGCTGACCCACAGATGTTTTGCTGTATACCTTATTTCTAGATAATATTAATTCAGTTGAATATTCATCAACACACTTTTATTTTATTATTCCATTTTCTACTTTTTTTTTGTGTATTTATTTATTTATTTCATTTTTTACTATAAACATTACATTGCAGCTCATATAAATATAAATATTATCATTAATATTTACAATGGAGTAACATGAATAATCAGACAGATTCATATCTGGTAATAGATTATTCATGCATTATCAAATTAAATTATAGTTATTGAAATAAACAACAGAATCAAAAATAATGATAATAAAACTAAAAGCTCATGAAAAGTACATTATGACATGAAATGAATGAGTGAATGAGAAATCATTCACTCAGGTTTGATGTATGTTTCTTGACTTTGATTCTGAAAAGGGTGATATTTGTGCAACTTTTGATATCATCAGGTAATTTATCAAATTTTGAGTGAACTTTTTTGACCAAATGTAGAATTAGCAGCATCAAGATGAAACAAGTCATATTGTCTAGTATGATATTCATGGATTCGAGAATTCCTTACCAATATGAAGTTAGATTTGAGGTATTTGTTGATAATATCAAAAGAAATTTTGAGAGTATTCATCAGATAGTGCTCTTTCAAAGAAAATGTATTTGTTTCTTCATAAAGTTGATTTGATGTTGGTCATATGGAAGATGATACAGTACTTTTAATGCTTTTTTATATAGAACAGATATTTTGTTGAAATTATTCTTGGAACATGAACCCCAAATATTTATGAGATAGTTTATTTTACTAAGGATGTGAGAGTATAGAACGGTATTTGCTATATTTGGGATAAGTTTTGGACATCTTCTTAAGGCACCAACTATGGGGGAAATTTTTTCTTTGAGCATGCCAATATGCTTGTCCCATGTTTGGCTATCTATAGAAGGGTGTTTCTTTAGTTTTCCAAACTACAATGTATTTTCTACTCCTTTTTCGTTCACTTGAAAGAATCATGATCTCTGTCCTAAAACCCCAGATGAAAATTTTGGAATAGAATAGGATCATAATTACAAAACTCGTCCGCCAAATTGGATCCGCCACCTTGAATTTCCTAATTTTGACGAAGAAATCATAATCCCCGATCATGAAAATCCCTTGGGATCAATTTCAAATAGAATCAGATTATAATAATTACATAACTCGTCCGCCATATTGGTTCCGCAATCTCAAATACCCAAATTCCACCCGAATTTATTAGTTCTGATGAAAAAAAATCATAATCTCCGACCCCGAAAAGCCCCAGATTCAAATGTTGAATAGAATCGAATCTCCATTAGAGAACTCGTCCGTCATATTGGGTTCGCCATCTTGAATTTCTCAATTTTGACGAAGAAATCGTAATGCCCGATCACGAAAATCCCTAGGTAGAAATTTTGAATAGAATCTGATTATAATTACGAAATTCATCCGCCATATTAGTTCCGTCATCTCGATTTCCCAAATTCCGCCCGAATTTCATAATTTTTACGAAAGAATCATAATCTCTGACCCCGGAAATCCCCAGATAAAAATTCTGAATAGAATCGAATCATAATTAAAAAACTCGTCCGCCATATTGGATCCGCCATCTTAAATTTACTAATTTGACGAAGAAATCATAATCTCCGACCCCGAAAACAAATTTTGAATAGAATCGGATCATAATTACAAATTTTGTGCGCCATATCGGATCCGTCATCTTGAATTTCCCGATTTTGACAAAGGAACCATAATCTTCGAACTGAAGAACCCCCAGAAACCAATTTTGAATAGAATCGGATCATAATAATCCGGCATATTGTATCCGCCATCTTGAATTTCCTTAAAGTACTGGGATAAAAAGTAGCCGTTTTTGACTTATAAATAGTGTAACGAATTTTGGACTTTTTTATATACAGGGTGCCGATGATACAAGGTGTGAATCCTCGGGCGGAAAAAAGTTTATATCAACATAATATATGTCCTAAACCTCTTACTTTTTGAGATACAGGCTGTTGAGATTTTGAGAAACAAGTGTTTTTTATCATAATTTTTTATCACTTCGATATTTTCATTAAATTTTGTACACACCTTTTCATTATTAAACAGCATTTTTTGACGTGAAAAATGTTTCTAATATTTTCACCAGTCACGTTCGTACGGGATTTGAACTGTCAATTTTTGAAGAAAAAAATATTACGCTACTGATTTTTCTAAAAACCAAAGTTATTTCTGAAATCCACATTTATTTTGGAGCAAATTCGTTACTTACACCTACTCTCATTTTACGTTCTGTTTTCGCGTAAAAAAACAAAATTTGTTTTCTTTGGTTGTTAATTGAGATTGTTTTTGGTATTAAGTGAAAATTTCATAGGCACCCACTATGAATGTAAACACTTTTTTTTTTGACGAATTATTTTTACTTTTTGCAAGTGATGTTGACATAGGCCTGATATTAAATGTTTTGATAAAAAAATAAAAATTGTACGCCTCTGATGTTAACACCCTGTAGCTCAAAAACTAAGAGGTTTAGGACATAAGTTGATATAGACTTTTCTTCTTAAATTTACCCAAAGATTCACACCTTTTATTAAACGGCACTCAATTGATCAACACCCTGTATATAAAAGATGAACAATAATTCATCAGTTTCTGTTCCTATAGAAATACAATAATTCACATTTGACACATTCATAGCCAACCCTCTGTATTGCAATCAGATTATTTTCATTTTGTTATTACATTTTTAATCTCCAGACTATTGAAACTAGCGAGTCCTTTGTAGAAAACGGTTGTGATGCTACTATTTTCACTTCAAACATACAGGATCAGTCAAAAATGTGTACCGTAAATGAGTACAGCTCAATGAATGTACTAATGACCCAAAATGTAAGGGAAAAATATCTCTTTTAAGTTGATAAAATTGAAATAATTTTCCCGCATAACTTCTGAACTTTAAAAGCCACTAGATTGAATTTTCCTGCATAATTTTATGTTGATTAAATACATATTTCTTATACACTTCACCTTTCAGATATTGTTTTGAAGGGTGTTTTTAGAGGGTGGGTCATGATTTTTTGAAGACAACTTTTTTCCTCGAATTCTTTTTGATGAAAAAATAGGAGCGAAAAAAAAAATACATGAAAAAGGTTCTCTAATCAGAATACAAAAATTGTAACCGTTTTCGATATAATTGTGTTTTTGTAGTGACATGATATTAGTAGATAAATTCATCAGTAATAATATTTCAGGACTCCTCCAACTTCTTGGCCGGACACCATCTCTATTTTTCGTTTTAAAACATTATTTTTCAAGCAATCTTTAAACAATCCTCAAAATTATTCTGGAATTTGTATGGCGTCAAGTAGTAAACATCTGGACATAATGAATAACCTGCAATATCATAAAATTTCAGTTGAAAATCGCGGTAATAATTTTACTAACAAAAAAAAAACGGAACAAGGAAATTAACAATAACAATGTTCATGTCATAAACGTTAAAATTAAGAACAAAATTGATCATGGCTACCTAAAATATTGTTACCATTGAATTAATCAGCTGATATATGTTACATCAAAAACTGGTCTCACAAATGCTTCTATTAAAAAAGTCTTTAAAAAATTGTGACCCATCCTCCAAAAACACCCTTTATAACAATATCAGGAATGTCATCAACATACATTCATGTAGGATAATTCAATCTGGTGGCTTTCACCGTTTAGAAGTTATGCTAGCAAATTATTTATATTTTATCTTTGGAAGGATTTCCTTGATATACATTTTGGAATATAAATTTATTCATCAAACTATACAGGGTGGGGCATTAGTGCGTCGGAGCTCGATTGCTCGACATCTATGATAGCTAGAAACCTCATTCAAAAACGAATGTGAATGAGACAACAAGGTCCATAACTAGAAATTATTGCCGCATATACAGGGCGTACCAAAAATAATCTAGAGGGTCGGGATCATTTTTTTTTAAACGGAATGCCCTGTATATTTTTTGAAGCATCCCTGTGACCTTCATCCACTCCTATGATATCGTTGACTATATCCACCCTGTATATATTTTCCAATGTACAATCACCTCCAGAAAGCTCGGTACCAATTTGTGACTCACCTCGTATATTACACTATAATATATATATATAGTGAGCTTCTGGATGAAAAAATATTAAGTGTTTTCAACAAAATGTTCTCAGTTTGAAATTATTTGAAATTTTAATTGATATTTATCACACTTTCACAGTTGGATAACTGCCAAAACCTCCATAAAGTAGGATAAAGTTCACAATATTGAAATTAGTAAATTCATCACAATTGATAATGGTTTTGGAGGAGGGAAATTAATATCGATGAAATGTAGAATGATATTTATGTAAACTTCACTATAAATCAGATTTCTCTCCAAATTCCATAAAATGAGTGAGTGTATATTATTTGAAAAAAAACGATCCTTTGTATCTCACTGAAATTTTCGATTGTCGCCTTTGTTCACCATTTTTTGGTCGATATTTCGCAGGTTTCGGCATGGGGGGGATACGTTTTCATCATAAACTTGATCCCGCTGCACGTGTTCGTCTTGTTGTTGATGGGCAGGTTCTCCAACAGGGTGTTCACCAGCTACACCACCTTCTACATCTTGGGGTTGATTTTCTCCATGCAGATTCCGTTCGTAGGGTTCCAGCCGATCAGGACGAGCGAACATATGGCAGCCGGAGGTAAGGATTGGAAATTGAAAAATCGGCATTTTTTTTCAATTGGTTGGGACACTTTGATGCAAATGAACTGTCGATTTATCATCAGCTATCAGTTGAAATTAAACATTCCTTACTATGCGAGAATATCATGCATTCCTACCGACTGCGCCACTTATTTCAAATGATTCAGCTTCATAATCAAATTTTCTAGCTCATAAGATTCCTGTTCAAAGTTACAATTTATTCTCATCAGGAATTTACAGGGTTTCTATAAATGATCGTAACATCGTAGTAGCCGTTGAGATATTTTCTTCATTTGCCGCATTTTATTTATAGAGGATCACACATTCATTTCATTTCTGAAATTCTTAAACGATTCTGTTTCCTACATTTATTGTAATGTCTTGTTTTCGAAATCGCACATTTATTATTGGTGGAAATATCCTAATGTAGAGATACAAGAATTTTCTTTGAAAGCCCACATCAGATTAGTGATCAACAGATTCATCCAAACTGGAAACGTCAATAAAAAGAAATCAACCGGAAGGCCCCAAGTATCGGAAGAAGTTGTCAAAAATCTAAGGGCACGTGTTGAGAAAAATCCCCAAACGTCTTTGAAGTTTAGTTTAGTTTATTTAACAACGTTATGTACAAAAAAAAATACATTTGTTGCAGGTCATAAACATTACATCTAGTGGGTAATGTAGGGTAGTGAGCACAAGTGCTTATGAATAGGTAATAAATCAATTCAAGACCTCTTTGCTCCACTTAAATTGGCATTCTGATTATTATTCTTCGAATGATATTGACTATCTCTCTGAATTTATAATCCATAATTTTCCATCTCTAGTTAATCATTTTTTCCACTGAAGAAAATTACGAAACAGGAACATCCTCCTGTAAAATAGTTTAATGAGAAGTTACGAGAAATGCGAGATAGAGTTTCGAGTATTAAACTTATCTATGACTCAACCAAAGACCCATTGGCGAAAATAGCTTTCAAGGAATCACAAAAAAACGACAAAATTTCATTAGCCCAAGAAAAAAAAGGCATATGAACAATATCTCAATAACTCCAAAAACAAAAGCAGAGACAGTTGGAGAATAGCAAACTTTGAAGGTAACCGGAAAAAACATAATATGAACCAAGCTCCAATACATCCAGATGTATTCATAGATTTCTTTGCTACTATAGCTGACAACGTAACAAGGTCTTTACCTGTATCTAGATATGTCGCAAACAGTTACTTGGAGTTCATACCAAAACATAATGCAATTTTTTTCCTGGGACCAGTCACGAATTCAGAAATTTTGCGTATGCACCCTTACAAGACCAGTGTACTACAGCAACTTCTGCCAATAGACATCCCAAGTCGTCTGGAGACTCTGGAGTACTGCCATTACATTAAAAAAAATTAAAATTGAAATATTTATTGATCCTTCCAACTATCGGTAACAATAGATAGGATACGTTAATGTTGCATGCCATAAAAGAAAGAATAGTGTAATTAATGAATTGACAGATAAGACGAAACGAAATGGTGGGACAAGATGAAAACAATTACAGTGATGACTAACAGGAATTGAGAAATACTTTCGTATTATTTTGAAATTGAAAAGTATGATTCGAATTCCTCAACAGTATGAAAGCATTCTCTGACTAGGAGTTCCTCAAGCGTACACTTGAAAACAGCCGGCGATCCCGAGTTTTTTCATTTAATTCGACAGGCAGTTGAAAAAACGGCAGCCTGCATTGATTGGAGAATTTTTGTTATAGGATTCTGTAGGCTTGTTCAGTTTGATATTATTCTTAGTTCTAGTGTTGTATGAAGTGAATCACTATTAATAGGAAATGAATGTTTGTCAATGAAAATGTATGTTGAAAGTTTCATCAAATAACTTGATGTTACTGTAAGGATCCGTTTTGATTTAAAGACCTGTCTACATGACTGGCGACTACTTATGTCAAAAATGTGCCTCATGATTCGTTTTTGAGCAACAAAAATTCTGGTGTGCCACTAACTACGTGCCATAAAGTGCTCAAGAAGAGATTGCCTATGCATCCTTACAAGACCAGTGTACTACAGCAACTACTGCCAATAGATATCCCAAGTCGTCTGGAGACTCTGGAGTACTACCAATGGTCCCAAAATAATCTCAACGATGACCAGTTATAGGACCTAAAATTCGTTAGTGATGAGGCCTGGTTTTATTTGTCGGGATACGTAAACTCACAGAGTTTTAGATTTTGGAGAACTGAGAATCTCCACAATTTTATTGAGACTCCATTATATTCTCAAAAAATTGGGGTATGATTATCAGTTTCTCGTAGGCCAAAATATGGACTTATCTCTAACATGGCACTATCAATGGTGGAAGGTACAGACAAGTGATGTTGAAACCATTCATTAATCAACTTGTTGATGAAGACGTTCGAGTTGGCTATTTTCAGATAGATGGAGCCACTGACCACACCACACTTGCAAATTTGGCATATTTACAAGATTTGACAACCAAGTGATGAGTCGATGAGTAAATCCTTTTTACCCAACATGTTCTCCAGATATGACGCCTTCGGATTTCTGAATTTTTGGATATTGGAAAGATGAAGTATTCAAGAGAGGCAATAATAATCTTGAAAAACTGCAAGCCTCAATTACACATTGCTGCCAAAATATTTGCCCGGAAATGCTGAGGAACATTTTCGACAACAAACGTCGAATAGTTATGAAATGCTTGGAGAACAACGGAGAAGATTCTGAACGTTCAATTTAGGTTAATGTAATAAACTGTTATATATTACTTCTTTAATATATATTTTCGAATTGTTCAATTATTTTGCAAACTCCAATGTCATACTCGCCTTTCTTTGAGATACATGTTCATAGTGTATGCAAATCTATATAAAAAAGATCCTCCATATGATCACTTCCTCTCATTTTGGTCGCATAACCCTACAAACTGCGCCAAATATTCTCAAAATGATAATCCACAATGTATAATTTTACGCAATAGTTCTCGTGCAGCATAGGAACATAATTTTATAAAACTAATTGGACGCTTTATACTCCTTAATTGGAGTTCTGTGAATGTAACTGTATGCTAACTTTGTTTTTAATTGTTCTTGGTAAAAGTCTGTTCATAAGATAATTCAGGGATTTATAATGACGGGATCATAGCCCTACCGACTGCGCCAAATATCTCGATCCACAATGAATAATTTTCCGCACTACACTAAAACCTGTTTTTCTGCAGGTGTTTTCGCTCTTATGTTCGCCGTGGCCTTCTTGAAATACCTTCAATCGATGATGTCCAAATCGGAATTCAAAACTTTGGTGGTGTTCGGAGGAATAGCGTCCGCGGCAGTCGTATTCTTGTCGGTGGTTCTTCTCACCTACGCTGGATACGTGGCACCATGGAGTGGCAGGTAAAATTGAAAATTTACAACATTCAAATTCTCATTTCTCCATATAGTTTATGAGAATACATTGAACGTATTTTTATTCTTGTTGTGTGATCAAATTTGAGTTCAGAAAAAATCGTGAAGATATGGTTTCGGCTCCTCCACCATTTTCATTGCTTACTACTGATACTACTTAGAAAGTTCACGTACAGTTGTATTCAATAAAAAAACGTACCAGTAATAAAAAGAGACGTTAACGTCATCCTAGTTCTAGTTATGTAAAACTGTCAACATTTGATGAACAATCATTCCCGATAGCCCGTTTTAGGCAAATTGGATTGGATTTCTCTCGCTAATGGGCGAGTGGACTGGTAGTGAATAATTGACATTCAATTTCTTGACTGTATCGTTAGGGACCTTTTTTTTTAAATTTATTAATTCACGGGATAAACCCCATTACAGTATGAATTTTAAAATATATAAATAACACATGTAAGTACATGAAACGTATATATACCTACCCAACAATGGCTACATAACTAGTTTACACATGAATATATGGAATAGATGAGACTAGAAACCCTATGAAACTAACAATAACTAATTCGATGACTAAACAAATGCCACTCTCTTCTACTTACAAGCTATTCAATGATTTTTTGAACATATTGTAATGATATTTCCCTTAGAGGGGCTCTAGTAACATCATAAGTAAGACAGGAGTACAACGATTATCCTGTATCACGCATCCCAGATTGTTCTTCAAAGTCCCAATGATTCCTACATACACCAGCATATTTCCGAACACTCAATATATGCCGCAGTGACAAATAACGTCACAGAAGATTCTGGAATGTTCTGGAAACAATCGATGGAACAATTAGAGAGAGAGGTTTTGTTCTGAGAAGCTTCTAGAACAAAAAGGAGACGGAAGATCATTCGAGAACGTTCTCGAACCAACGCCTGCCAAGGGATCTCATATATAAACGGCCGAACAACTGCCGTCAGTCAGTCAAGCAACGAGTGTCAGAAAGACAGTCATATCCCGCGTGATATAAATCGTTTACATAAATAGTAGTTATAAGTTCGTTATAAATTAGTGTTTCTTTAGATAAAATAAATCAGTTCGAAAATAAATAGTGTCGTACACTACACTGTTTTACCACTAACCAAACCGATTTTTTAACGCGAAGATTAATCTTCTCCTGAAGATGCTAACATAGTTAGCGAAACACGTGTCGAGGCGTTAAAAAATCGGTTTGGATAGTGGTAAAACAGTGTAGTGTATTATCGTGCCAAAGGTTCCAGTCTTCGATATAAATAGTGTTGTGTTCGCTTCTGCACCCGAATAACGTAACAATATTGTAAGACAATCCAAATATATTGATGTTCATGTCGTTCAATAACGTCAGAGTTCTTTCCAAGGGTGCATGCTTGCCATAATTTGAGAACTGATGAGACAACGTCCACAATCCTATGTTGTCACGTTTACCAGGCGGAATCACCTCTAGTGTGAATTAATATAATTCTTATTAACACAAATCCAAATCATAATATGCAATAAGATACAACATATAAGACGGAAAATTACAAGAAAATGGACTTTTTATAACTAATTAAGAATATTACCGTTTCAGATTCTACTCTCTTTGGGACACAGGCTACGCCAAAATTCACATTCCTATCATCGCGTCTGTATCTGAACATCAACCTACCACGTGGTTCTCCTTCTTTTTCGATCTACACATCTTGGTCGCCACTTTCCCTGCTGGACTGTGGTATACCATCAAGAACATAAACGATGAAAGGGTGTTTGGTAAGTTTATAAGGAACTAAATTCTCCTTCTGATCATGGGTGTGCAAACTTTATTCACATAGAAAACCTATTCTTCTAGAAATTCCGGATGTATCCGTTTTAGGGGGTGTTTTTTTCATGAAATTTGTAATACCCTGTAGAGGGTTACAGTTACATTATCAAGCTAGAAATTATTATTATTATTACATGGGAAGGGCAGAAGCTTTCACCTATTTTGCCCAAAACTTGAGAACATTGTGAACACAGTCACAAATTTCACATAAAGAAAAACAATTGGAAAGCAAAAAATAAATGAAAAGTACAAATTTCATCACTAGGAAAATAACAAGATTGACATATAAAGCAAAATTTTGGAGATATTTACACATGTGCTCAACACATATGAATCGAAGAAAAAACAAAATACACCAAGTCGGTCGACCACGAAATTATATTACACAATTACTAGTGTGACTAGTTTCGGCTAAACAGCCATCTTCAGACACAAATTGAATAAAGTACCTGTAAGAGATGAAATTACAGACGAACAATAAGTTTGCTGAGGAAAAAACATACCTAGGCCATGTGGTGATTACAAATTCAACAAATAAAAAATCAAGCGGTTATTTCAACGTGAATAATCAGTCCGGTAAGGGGGTGATTACATTTTTATAACGGCTGAACAGCCAAAAGAACCTTATAATCATGAGGTTCAACATTGGCACGAAAAAATTAATTATTTAAATTCACTCAACTGAGTTTCATCTTGGATGGCTATTGAAAGACAGAAATCCAGTAATCGCAGAAGTAAGCAAATGACAGTGTCACTGTCGTTTGGTTCAAGGTGATTTTTTATTTGTTGAATTTGTAATCACCACATGGCCTAGGAATGTTTTTTCCTCAGCAAAATTATTGTTCGTCTGTAATTTCATCTCTTACAGGTACTTTATTCAATTTGTGTCTGAAGATGGCTGTTTAGCCGAAACTAGTCACACTAGTAATTGTGTAATATAATTTTGTGGTCGACCGACTTGGTGTATTTTGTTTTTTCTTTGAAAAAATCTGGACCACTTTGAGAAGGATGGATGGTTTCCATGACTTACATATGAATCGAGTTACACGCACTTGAATAACAGGCACTAAACCCGGAGCACATTTTGAGTCGAATAGCTATTGTTCTAATGGTCGAGTCGGTTCTTGAAGGCATTTATAGATGGAGCCGTAACTATAGCGTCGCAAGGTTGGTAGAACTGATGATAATTTGTAATGGAAGGTTGCCTCGATCGATAGTGGGGCAAGGGGGGAAACGGTCATTCGTGACATCACAGGCAGTATGATGACAAGATGTCAATCCTAAAGCGAAATGTCATGAAATGTTGTTTATCAAATGGAGTATACAAACTTTTAATGATAATATATATAATGGCCTCCCTGACCGATATCGGTATCGGCCGATATGTAAAGCACAATATCGGCAAGTTTTGGCTTTCTGCTCTTTCCGGAGTTTGATGATTTCTTGCGCATTCATAAATATTTCCAGCTGAAGAAAATAGCTGTTCACTAGCAACACTTCTTGGCGGAGGTGGTAAATAAATTATCGTAACTTTGTACTTCATTTGAAAAATGTCTTTTCTTTTCTCCCACCAAGTCATTGGAGTTTATTCATCATACCAATGCTTTCCTTGATTCTAATCTTCAAATTGAGACATGTAATTGCGCCATTCCTTTCGTGCGCTCCAAGAGATTTTAAAAAACATCTTGCATCAACAAAAGTCCTTACGTTATATGTGCTTCTAAAATGTCCAATATGTACCTATTAGCTGTAAAGCTTCCATTTATGATTATAAGTTTCCAGGCGACCAGTCAAAGAAATGCTTTTTTATACGGCTATAATACAAAATTGCTCTTGTTTTACTGTGCTCGATACATCAACAAGGTACTTTGTATGTCATCAGTTTTATTTCCGTATCTGATATCACAATGACTCCATTGTGTTCATATTTCAAAAAAATCTCATCGTCCATGGATTGTCAAATGTCAAGCAATGATAACTCTGTCTAATAGATGAGCATTTCTTGAGAGAATATCAGAGGCTACAAGACGAAGAAATAAAAAATGTCCCTGTTATCTGTTACAGCCGTAAAAAAATTACAGTGTGTAACTCGCACGGAATGCTAATTTCTCACTCGAATGGAAAATCACTATCATTCAGTGACGGCTCGTGCCCTCAGAACCTGGGTCGGCCAGGGTATAGATATTGCTCTAAAATGCGAACGTTACACGTTGGGTCAGCGGCTTGAGTGAAGTTCGATGGCAAATAAGCATGTACAGGGTGATTCACCATAATTGTCCCCCCTCTAGCTCACTTTATTTTTGACCCGATTTAAAAATTTGAAGGATGATCAAAAATGATTTCTCAGAATTTTTTTTCCCGTTTCATCAGGAAATACAGGGTGCTCGGAACAAATGATCTACAGAGTACTACTCGATTTTTCCAAATGGAACACCCTGTATTTCATTGTATTTTTAGATTCTTCCTGAAGAGCTGATTTCATCAATGCATCACACTTGGGGTCTAGCAGGAATGATAACAGAGATATAGGGTGTTCAAAATCGAGATTTTTCAAGTTTAGTATTTTTTTGTCTCGAAACTATTCATTATTGGTCGGAACGGCTCCTTTGTTTCCATCTTAATTTTTGATTAACTGTCTATTGAGATTTGATTGGAACATTTACAGGGTGGTTCAAGATTCAGAATTCAGATCACCCTGTATCTGTTCCAATTATTAAATGTCAGTAGATAGTAAATCAAAAGTTGAGATATGGACATGAAAGCCGTTTTGACCGATGATGAATAGTTTCGTCTCAAAAAAATCCTAAAGTTGAAAAATCTCGATTTTGAACACCCTATATCTCTGTAATCATTCCCGATAGACCCCAAGTGTGATACATTGAGCAAAGGAAAGGAAAAGGAGGTGGATAAGGGTTAGTTGGTATGAAAAAATAATAACAAGAAAGTCGAAAAAATAAAATGAAAGAAAATAAAATATTTCGTGAACGAAAAATATTTATATTCTGTTAAAAACGTAACGTAAACTCAAAAAAATCAACATAACCGACAACCACTCACCTAACGCGAGAAGCACAACAATGACTAAATTTTGACTAAATCGGTCTACAGTCTACGCTCTACGCCGTTCCTGTAACAAGCTACCCCACTCCTTCGTAGTCGGCTGGCCGAGCCCGCCGTGCAGCCGTAGAATCAGGAGTGTATAATCTCTGGTATAATGTTTCCCGCGATGGATGAATAAATATTATTTATAACCGCTACATGCGTCTTTGAAAATAAATGATATTCTGGAAGTTATACATTTATTACATTTTCGTCACCAGAGCTTTTTTACGATGTTTCAATACCTACTCAGCTCTTGGACTGCTGACATTTTTCTTGCCATATTACCTACATAGGCAGAGGCACAGTAGGTTACATTACAATATTCAAATTGAATTATAGATTATTGACGCTCAGAGGCACTGAAGGAAAATTCTGATACCAATATTAGATGGATAGCGTGAACAAAAACATCGAATTTTTTTTTTTCAGTTTGTACATTTCAAATTTCAACATCAACTTACAAATAAGTATAGAAATAAAAATGTATAGAATGTCAATCATGCCAGTCCGTATATTAAAAATTAGGTCGGAATGGTCGGATACGGTGCACAGCTAGCGCACTGCAAACTACTGATTACGTACGTACGGACGGCCAGCAGAGCTTGGCCGCACCCAAGGTATGACGCGTATCGTTCGCGTTTATGCGAGAATTCAAACTTGAAGCGGGGAATCTGTAGGCGATGCGTCGAGACAAGAAACCACCGATCGGCCGGCCGTCTGCATCAGTGTAATGAGCTACGCGAGCGTTTCAACTTAAAGCGGCGTTTTGACGATGGGATTACCAGATGTGGTAGGTCCTGAATTAGTTCGTGATTTTCGGAGTATATGCGGATGGCATACTCAAAGGTTCCAGTGAATGAAATTGAAATAATAGTGGCATAACAGTAGGATAATGAACGATGAATTACGAAAACAGTTTCGGAAAATAATTGTATTCAAATAGTTCAGTTATTTTCCCCAAATTATTTGGTACGGCCCGGCCGACCCTGCCGTACCTGACGAGCCGTCACTGCTATCATTTTGTGCTAGTTAAACAATATACTATTCCAGACCATAACCTGCTCTTACATGCTTTTAATGCTAATTGAATTCAATAAAATGATCTTATGCTATAAAATTGTGTTTCTGGTGTAATAGGAACGATAATGGAGTAAATCCAAGGAAGGAATATTGAAAAAAACAAGGCTCGAGTGTGATATCAATTCTAACTTGATAATGTAACTGGTACACTCTACAGGCTATTACAAATTTGAAGAAAAATACACGCTATAATTGCTACACCCGTTATTTAAAAAAAGGTTTTCATGCCAATATAGTTTGCACGCCAATATTCAGAAGGAGATAACTTGTCATTTAAAAACAAAAGACGTGCAAATCGGACAAGTAGATTTGACAAAAATGTATCAAACTTTATGATACTTTTTGGTGTCAATTTTTTGGGGAAGTATCATGAAGTGACTTGACACCTTTGATTCAATGTTCTTTTCTCTTAGTGGTGTTGTACGCCTTGAGCGCTGTCTATTTTGCCGGCGTCATGGTGCGATTGATGCTCACCCTCACGCCCGTCGTCTGTATACTGAGTGGCATCGCGTTCTCCGGCCTGCTCGAGTTGTTCCTGCGCGAAGACGACAGCGCTAGGATGGAAGAGAGCGAAGAAGAGGAGCAGAGCACGCCGAGCAAGCGGATGTACGACAAGGTGAGTTTACCGAGTGCCTGCCGACAGTTGTCGCACACTACATCCGTCATTCTGGCTTCCAACATAAATGCGAATTTCAAACAGAGTATGAACAAGAAAAACATTGCCGTATGTACCCATTGCAAATTGTTTATTTCTAAATTCTTTTGCAAAACAGTAAATAATAAGTTGACTTCGTGACATCTTCATAATTCACGTACAAAGTTTGCAGTATGGAAAAAATAACTTGAATTTACGATTTTGATACGGCTGCCGACCGCGGTGGAAGATAGGCGGCGCTTTCAGGTCGGAAGTCAGGTTAATGTTTTTGTGATTGTGAGTTTGAAACGCTAAAAGAGCATAGTTCCTGGTATCACTTTGAGTGAGACATTCAGGGTGCTCGAAAAACAAAACCTCCATTTTAAACAATAAAAGTTCGTGCAATAATTCGAGTTTTTTCATTAGGGAAAAATGAGGTTCTGGAATATGCACTTGAATACATAATTTTCAAATAAACACATAGGTACTTATGAAAGAAAATACTGATTTTCCAAATACAGCATAACAACAACAACAACAACAAGAAACATATTCATGGATTATAGTTTGATCACTATTTTTTTCTTTGAGCATGCCAATATGCTTGTCCCATGTTAATCTTTCATCAATAATAACAATATTACAATATTTGATTATATGTATATACCTATTTATACAACTGTACATTTTTGCTTCTGTCTTTCCTATTTACAAAAAAAAAACGTGTTTTCTGTCTTCTTAACTTCTAACTCCCTGTGACTTTACCCTAGTCATTGGACACTGAAACTGCTTTAGTGAAATAAATAGTATTATTATTATCTAATGACCTTGACGACCGCGAATTTGGACTATTAGGAGGTCTGCAAACCATTAGGAGGTTAGAGGTGAGGATAGCGATAGCACTCAACTCAAGAGGTAAATGTTTCTTCAAAATGCCGATCATACAAAGTTGGTCAAAAATTCTTCAATACAAATTGAAATTGAGTGTGACGATTTTGTCTGAAGTCTAGTGTTGAATGCCATTTATCCCTGAATATGAGAATATTATGACATCCATATCCACGACAGTCTGCTGAGAGATGTATAGAAATTTAACTGGTGGGCTCACTCTTCAATTGTTTCGTCAGACTAACTCTCGATATGGAACAATTGCAAGCGAGTTTTGGACGTGGGGTTCAGGTATTTGCGATAGAGGCGCCATAATCGGAAAATCGTTCAAAACCTTGGTTCTGTGAGGGATAAATCAATTTCCATAATTGTTCTGTGGTCGAATAAATACTATGCTCAACATTTTCATTCAAATTTCAATTTGAAATAGAAGCAAGAAATCTTATTTGTAGCCGATTTTAATAAGCTTCACTTCTTTCATGACATGAACCTATTTAAAGCATGAAATCTGATGAATTTCCTCTATGAAGAACCAGAACAAAGAATGTATCAACTATTGAAATAAACCAATGTCGAAAATCATAATAGGCAGATGTGGTAACTGGTACTCACCTTAGAATTTATTCACACCAGTTCACGCTAATATTTCAAATCACTGAAATAATACTGTTCTAGAACAGAGATTTTCTTTTTTCGATGTGGATTAGGTATCATACATAAAATTTAGAAACTACGGAACACGTCCCTAACGAACACTTGACCCCAATCTCAGAAATAACCATTTTTTCAGCTCAAGAGTATTTTTGACATATTGACGTTTCGATCCTTTGATCAGGAATCAGTTCACTGCTCTGATCCAAATGATATACGTATCCAAATATTTATCGGTCGGTAATATGTTTCCTGTAAATATGGATTGTAACCAGGATGAGCTTAGCGAGATCTACCCACGTCAAGTATGTTTATCAAAGGTTTATCAGAGTAGGCGCCATCGAGAAACTTGCAAACGACCTTCAATAGGGAGCAAGCGCACCAGTTGAATTTCTATACATCTCTGTCTGCTGCATGTAAATCATTTTGTTTTATACAGGGTGTTTCTCAGAGTTGTGGTGATAAAAATTTAGAGTCGATTACTTTCGATTACGGTCGATTATCAACACAGATATCGCAACCAATCAAAAACATGTATTCTGGAATGAGTGAAATAGTCAGTAGTAATACTATAAGTACTTCAAAATATTCGGGTTATACATCGATAACTTCTTGGATAATTACAGAGAGTGTCAGTTTGACAGTTGAAATAATCCGACCGCGACTGCTATGATTGATGTGACAGAAAATAACCCAACCTCTAAAATCGTAGGGAAATTGAAAAGACAAAGAGCAGATTATATGTCTCAGTCTCTCATTCACTCAAGCATTGTAATTCAGAAAATAGAAAAGGACAGAAGTTCAGCTGTGTCCGAACTCGTATCTACTAATACCATCCAGTGACTCCTAGAGTCTAGATCATTTCAGATCAGATTCAATTCGTGCGTATGAGTTGGTTACTTTGGAAATGGAAATAATTCTAAATTTCTGATTGGTGGTACTACTCTATGTATAATATCCATGTATATTCGAAATTATTCAAGGTAGCTTAGCTCACTTGAACGTTCTGATTGGTTTAAACTCATACGAAAAAAAAAATCAGTAGTAATACTATAAGTACTTTGAAATATTCGGGTTACACATCGATAACTTGTTTGCATAATTACAAAGAGTGTCATTTTAACAGATGAAATAATCCGACCGCGAAGCGGGAGAATTATTCTGTTGAACTGATGATTTGTAAATGTGCGAAAAGTTTGAGATGTTTAAACTTGAAGATTTTGAAGTTCGAATTGTATTCGGGGCGATTATTTTTGAGCAGTTCGGAACGAACGTCAACATTTTACGACGCGCTTTGTTTGTATTTTAACATTGGTTCAAAGTTAACTAAGAAAATAATCACGTTATCCAATGGAACCATTCTTTATAATGAACTACCTGCCAGGCTGAAGAAAACATTAAGTGATGAGAAATTTAAAGAAGAATTGAAAAAATACTTATGTCTTTGATTCACTTATATCATCCTAAATCAATTAAAGAAGTTATATTCAACAGGCTCTAAAAGAAACAACATTACATGTACTATGTATATTTAATTATTTATTTATTTATTTCAGTTATTGAATTACATTCTCTTCTGCATTGATACATTTCATACAAATAATATATAAAGTATAATTAATTTTCTAGTAGGAATGACATGAATGATCAGACAGTAATTCCTGGTATAAGATCATTCATGAAGTAATATCGACTGTTGTATAATTGAAATTACAAATAGTGAACAAGACGGGGAAAAATAAAAACAGTGGAAAAAAAAGGAAATTCATAGTCTTTCAGCTTTGATCACTCCTTTGCATATAAATATTCACTTTATTTTTTAATTGCATAATATTTGGGCTGTTTTTGATATCATCTGGTAATCTATTGAATTTGTTGATCCAATCGCAAATAAATTAGTATCGTTAGATTCGTCAAAATATCCTTTTTTCGGAAAGTGCTTGTAAAAAAATGGTCGCTATTTGAAAAATAATAGTTAGACATGAAAATGTAATTTTGCCAACTTGTCTCATTCATATCTATCATACTTGTCGTTGAAACTTCGCGATTGTAATTTTCTGATATCGAGTTCCTCAGATTAGTTTACTTCAAATCATGGCCACCTAGATTTAATTTCAAAAGTGACTCCGAAAAAGTTAAGTAGCCATAAAAACTTTCGAAAATGTCACATTCTGATCTAGAATTGTCTCAGAAATCGAAAAATGTTACAATATACGGGGTGTTCCATTTGAAAATTTAGAACCGGAGCCATTTCCGGTGAAACCGGAAGTGACCGGAAAGTGAAAAATATGTGAAAACTCTCCTCTTCACATACCATTTACCTATACCAAATCTCATTTTGATACACCTAATGGTCTAGAAGTTATGACTTGTCTAATAGATTCGTTGACACCCGGTATGTGAATAGAGAATAATATTTGATGAATATGTACTAAGTTTAGGACATCTTCTTAAAGCACCAATAATGGGAGATACTTTTCCTATGAGGATGTCAATATGCTTTTCCCATGTTAATTTCTCATCAATCCAAATTTTTTTTTTAGTTGCTCTTTCATAATTTTCCCTGCAATAAACATATACGTTTCATGGGAATAATAAAGATTATTATTATATCGTCACAGGCCGGCCGAGTGCCGAAGATGAAACACGAGCAATCCAAGGACACTTCGGACGGCATCGGTCCCAACCTGCGCAGCATCGTCACCGTCGTCGTCCTCCTCCTTCTCATGCTGTTCGCCGTCCATTGCACGTGGGTGACCAGCAACGCCTACTCGAGCCCGAGCATCGTGCTCGCTTCCTACGGCAACGACGGCACCCGACAGATCCTCGACGATTTCCGCGAGGCGTACTTCTGGCTGTCGCAGAACACGGCGGACGAGGCGCGAGTGATGAGCTGGTGAGTTTCTCTCCCGAGATTCGTGCGTGTGGTAAAAGAGCGACTTGCCGTGCGATCGGGCGTGCTGTAATTTATGCTTTAACGGACTAGGGTGGTCAAGTTACTTTAACACACTAGGGTGTTAAAGTAACATTATCGCACTCTTTCCAGGCATATTTTTCCGTTATGAAAATACTCGTTATTTCTCTATCCAGTAACTGAAACTGAAGTTCATGAAGCCATTCTAAAATTGAAAAATTCGTCTTGTCCAGACATTTACGAATTGACTAGCAAAGTAATTAAAGGTACCAGTTTTTTCCTTGTTGAACCTCTAACTGTTCTCTTCAACCACTGTTTCTCTAATGGAATATTTCCTGATGAGTTTAAGCTAACCAAAGTGATAGCCATTCATAAAAAAGGTGACAAAAACATCATTGACAACTACCGACCTATATCAATTATACCGATACTTGGTAAAATATTTGAAATAATCATCAAAGACCGCTTAACCTCTTTTTTCACTCGACAGAATACGCTACATGAGAGTCAATTCGGATTCAGACAAAACTGTTCTACTGTTCAAGCAATCCAAAAGCTGGTATCTGACATTATCAATGGATTCGAAGAAGGAAAACATACCATAGTTAATATGTGTGACTTGAGTAAGGCGTTCGACTGTGTATCTTACCCAATACTTTTAGCCAAGCTACAATTTTATGGTCTACGAGGAACAGCTCTGAAATTAATCGAATCATACTTATATGGAAGGAAACAATCGGTATATATGGATAAACATTGTTCTGAAATTAGCAACATCCAGTTTGGGGTCCCTCAGGGCTCCATCCTTGGGCCACTCCTATTTATCATCTATGTCAATGATATTTTTCATTACATGAGTCCAACTAAATGTATTTGTTATGCAGATGACTGTACTATCTATGTATCTGATGAAAGAATTGATGATTTTGACAATACTTCCAAAGTTTTACAATCAAAAGCTGAAACATGGTTCATTTCCAACTGTCTGAAACTAAATAACAGTAAAACCCAAAATATTGTATTCTCTACTGATAACGCTATTGCCAAAGGTTCTGAAGTTAGACTACTTGGTATTGTCATGGATGATAAATTGAAGTGGTCAGCTCATATTGAGCAATTGAGTAAAAAATTGAGCTCCAATATTTACCTATTAAGAAGGTTGAGTAGATTTGCTAACATAACAGTATTGAAAACTGCATATTTTGGACTATTTCATTCCCATATTAACTATGGTATAACTATCTGGGGAAACGCACCTGACTCCATGAGAATATTCAGACTCCAAAAAAGAGCCTTGAGAATAATTGCGAAAGCGAATTATAGAGATAGTTGTCGTCCAATATTCGTAAATTATGAAATACTCCCTTTACCGTGTATCTACATCCTCAATTGTTTGTTAGACATCCATGAAAATAAATATAATTATCAAAGAAACGAGGATTTTCATAATTACACTACAAGAAACTGTAAGTTGATTCGACCGATTAGACATCGCTTAAACACATCTGAACGTAACTCTATAGATATAAAATTGTATAATATTCTCCCTGCCAATATCAAAGATACACCTATTCATCTTTTCAAGAAAAAAATTCGTAAATTTCTGTTATCCCATTGCTTCTACTCGGTGGGGGAATACCTGGGGGCCGGAGTGGGATCATTTGAGTCTATATAGATTCATGAATTAACAAATCTGGAAAATAAAATAAATGAATAAATTACATGAAAATAGTGAAACAAAGAGAAATTATGCCTATGCCACGGGGATCAGTCTTCACCCAGTTTAATTTTAATCTGTATTTTTTTTTGTATTGTATCATTCTAATTCAAATTTTTACCTATATACTTTGCCTTGTCTTGACTTTCCACAATAGTTATTTATGCAACAAGTGCAAAAAGTGAATGTTTGTTGTCCAACTCGGCCTAACGGCCTCATCGGACAATTTCACGTCGAATGCAATAAACAATTTTTGCACGAGTTGCATACATCATTTTTTCTACGTTCATGCAAAAAGCAAGAAATGATTCATTGAGGTGCGGCACTAGGTACAATTCTGTTAATTGTCAGAATTAATTTTTGACTGACGTTTCTATAACCACAGTTGCATTATAGAAAATGTTTGTCATGATGACAGCACGTTGAAGTAGAATGACAGATGAGTGCAATAAAAACTTTATTGCACTAAGTGCAATAAAGAACTTCTTTTTCCACTAAATAAAGTTCAATAAAGTTCTGTTTTTCGCATGAATGTAGACAAATGAATTTAATTTTGTAACGTGGATGAATAAATGAATAAATGAATAAATAATTGGAAATCGATCGGAATTGCGGTGTCAAGTACATACAGTAATATAACATAACGTTACAATATTCAATTGATGTATTCCTGACACAAATTAAGAAAAAGTCTATGAAAACTTGTGTTTGGAAATGCGTCGTTTCGCAGATACAGGGTGTAGAAATCCACTTTTCGTTCTTTTCTAATTACTTTTACAGGAAAATTGGTACTTGTCGCAGAACACCGCGGATGAGGCGCTTGTGAGTTTCTCTCCCGAGTATCGCATGTGCGGTAAAAGGGCGCCTGGGGTGGTAAAATTACTTCATCGCATGCTTCCCAGGCATATTTTTTCGTCATAAAAATTGACAGGACGTCGATTGGAATTTCGATGTCAAGTACATAATATGTAACATAAGTACGTTGAAATATTCAATTGATATATTCCTGGGACAAATTAAAAAGAAGACTATATAAATTTGTGTTCGGAAATACCTCGTTTCGCAGATACAGGGTGTTGAAATTGACTTTTTTTTCGTTTTTTTCAAACAACAGGTTTTTTGCACGAAAGGTACCCGGTTTTTTTTTTGAGGTAAGAAATCATAACTTCATAATTATTTCCATGGAACGCCTAGAGCGAATTGCCCTAACTTTTTCGACAGCGTTGTTGAGTAAGTTCACTTCTGGCCGTCGCAGAACACCGAGGACGAAGCGCGAGTGATGAGCTGGTGAGTTTTTTTCCCCGAGTATCGCGCGTGTGGTAAAGGGCGCCTTACCGCGCGGTCGAGCCTGTGGTAATTTGTACTTTGATGCACTAGGGCGGTAATAGATATTTACGATACGAGTATCATAAAGACTCATATTACGATATGAGATGGGAAATTTGTCTAACGAGGCCGAAGGCCGAGTTTGATAACCCATTGATTATCGTAATATGAGTTTACGATACGAATATAGTACAATATTTTACCTACTACCAAAAAGCTAATTATTTAATCAAAAATATTCAATATTCCTTGAACTGACGATTCATTAGGAATATGTAACAAGCAAGCGTTGCAAGGGTTGTCGTGAATCTATTGTGTTCTCGGTTGTCACTCATTCGGCGAACTGTCAAAGAAATGTACTCCCGAACTAACACCTGTTCTCTGCAAGTTGTTCAACTACTCTTACACATTGGGGTTATTCCCGTACAACTGGAAAATTGCAAGAGTACAACCAGTTCCTAAAAAAGACAAAAAGACCCTACTTAGCAACTACAGACCGATCGCACTGCTATCTATCATTTCAAAGATCATGGAGAAAGCTATCAACATCGAGCTCATAAAATACCTGGAACATGCAGGTATTATCAACGATAGGAAATATGGCTTCCGTCATCAGAGATCAACTGGTGACCTGCTCGCTTACGTCTCACATATATGGCAGCAATATATTGGAAAATATGGTGAAACCTTAGCCGTGGCACTCGATATCTCCAAGGCATTCGATCGAGTCTGGCACCACGAACTCCTCGCCAAGCTTCCATCTTATGGCTTGCCTCCCCAGCTATATTCTCTACTTGCTAGTTTTATCTCAAACAGGTCTCTCCATGTAGTGATCAAAGGAGTTACGTCTGACCCTCTTATCATAAATGCTGGTGTTCAATTCTATTTGTTGAAAGCAATTTCATGTCCAGTACAAAGCTTCGTGGATGATAGTACCCCCCATACGGCCTTCTCTTCCAGGGCTCCGATACCAGCCAGGTAAATCAGAAACGAACGAGGGAGAAATGTTGACAATATGAATATGGACATGGCAAGAATTCTCGAATGGGGATCCAATAACTTGGTAGATTTCAATGCAAACAAAACACAAGCATGCCTTTTCTCTAGAAAAGCCGATCTCACTGTGCCCAACATAAGCTTGTTCGGAGTAACTATAACTTTGAAGACATCCATTTCGAAGCTTGGTATTACTATCAGCAATAACTTCTCTTGGGAAAATCACGTGAGATCAATTGCTAAAAGTGCATCCCAAAAACTTGGTTTTCTGTTTCGGGCCAGGAGCTATTTCACTTCCAGTCAGCTGCTTATGATATATAAGGCACAGATCCGACCTGTCCTGGAATACTGTTCCTATATTTAGAGTGCAGCAGCCAAACATACCCTGAAACTGTTGGATTCTGTCCAAAAAAGGGCAATTCGTCTCATGGGTGATGCCTCGCTCACAAACTCACTAAATTCTCTGGAACACCGTAGAAAGGTTGGCGATCTCGCTCTATTTCACAGATATTTTCATGGACGATGATCTTCTGAAATATCAACAATTGTTCCTCCCTTGGTAGTCCCTGCGAGATTATCCCGTCGAGTTGAGGCTTCGCACCCCTTCATGGTCACTTTGGAGACCTGGAGAACATCTCTTTCCAAAGACTCGTTCATCCAACGAACAGCGAGGCTCTGGAACACATAACCAAGGGAGGTGTTCTCCGATGCTATAACCTCCAGAAATTTAAGAACACCAATTCCTACCTGATTTCCCTTGGTTCTCATGATGTTCTCTGAACATTACAGGAGACCCCGTTTCGTGGGGACAAGAACATAAAAAAAATCAACCAGCGATTCTCTTTTCTTATGCAGGTGGGACTACGGTTACCAGATAGCCGGCATGGCCAACCGCACCACCCTGGTGGACAACAATACGTGGAACAACAGCCACATCGCTCTCGTAGGCAAGGCGATGTCGTCGAACGAGAGCGCCGCCTACGACATCATGACGGCCTTGGACGTCGACTACGTGCTGGTCATCTTCGGCGGCGTCATCGGCTACTCGGGCGACGACATCAACAAGTTCTTGTGGATGGTCAGGATAGCGGAGGGGGAGCATCCGAAGGATATTAGGGTGAGATGTACTGTGTATTAATAATAATAATAATAAATTCATTCATCTTTCTTGATCATACATACAGTGTGTCCCACTTACCATGCTCACCATGAGTATCTTTTTAACGGTGAAAGATACGAAGTCGGTAAAATGACACCAAATGTGGAGTTTGTCAAGGCCAACTATAATGTGAACAAATATTTCGATAAAATCTATTCGTTTTTGTTTTATACGCAAAAAACAGATTTTGATCATTTTCATGTCTCCTCCGTAACTTCTTTATTTATGAAAATATTCAAATAGGAATTTCACATTCTCATGGCAGTTTTTCATAGTGATTTCGAAAACAATATGAAATTTATACCAACTCTTCAAGAATTTGAGATATCAGCACCAACTTTAGTTTTTCAAATGTAGGTCATAGCTCACTATGACTTGGTTACAAATAACTTTTTTTTCTCTTACAGATGATGTGTCGCAGTAATAGTTTTGTGTTGATAACAACGGAGTTATCGTCATTTATACAAAAACAAAACATTATTTCAAAGCCGCCATCTTGAATTTATGAATTTTAACAAAAAAATCATGATCTCCGACCTCAAAAACCCCCACTTACCAATTTTGAATGGAATCGGACCAAATCTTGTCCGCCATCTTGGAGCAGCCATCTTTTATAATTTCGACAAAAATTCCATAATGTATTGTCACCGAAATTATGAACACCTGCCAAATTTCAAGTTAATCGGAGTTATTGAATTTTTGTTGAAATAAAAAAAAAATGGCTGCTCCAAGATGGCGGACAAGATTTGGTCCGATTCCATTAAAAATTGGTAAGTGGGGGTTTTTGAGGTCGGAGATCATGATTTTTTTGTTAAAATTCGTGAATTCAAGATGGCGGCTTCCGAATAATTTTTTGTTTTTGTATAAATGACGATAACTCCGTTGTTATCAACACAAAACTATTACTGCGACATAATTATCATCTGTAAGAGAAAAAAAAGTTATTTGTAACTAAGTCATAGCAAAGATTACTGAATTCTAGAAGATAGTTCACTTAGTGAAATCCGTTTGTCGGTACAGCCCAACATTGCATTTTTTGCTTTTCTATAAATCATTGCACCGCCAAACGGTTGCGGTCGGTTGACAGCTAATTAGATTGCGATTTCAAAGGCCCCGGCAGTCGTTAGCCGGCAGAATCCAGCGGTCGGCTAGGTTGCGGCGAGATCTCTTAGAAGTCGAAAAATGAACGAGTGAACTGTCTTATAGTTTATCTTCTGTAGTCTATGGTCATAGTGAGCTATGAACTACATTTGAAAAATTAAAGTTGGTGCTGATATCTCAAATTCTAGTAGAGTTGGTATGAATTTCATATTTTTTTCGAAATCACTCTGAAAAACTGCCATGAGAATGTGAAATTCCTATTTGAATATTTTCATAAATAAAGAAGTTACAGAGGAGACATGAAAATGATCAAAATCTGTTTTTTGCGTATAAAACAAAAACTAATAGATTTTATCGAAATATTTTTTCACATTATAGTTGGCCTTGACAAACTCCACATTTGGTGTCATTTAACCGACTTCGTATCTCTCACCGTTAAAAAGATACCCATAGTGAGCATGGTAAGTGGGACACACTGTATAGTTGATATTAGACATGTCAGGGGTAAAACAAAAAATATACATAAAACTGCTGGTATAATTATTACAAAAAACACATTAGCACATAAAATCAGTATGTATGTCATACACACACCTCTCTACTAAACATTTTTTGAGACATCTTCTAAAAAGACTATAATCTTTGATTTCCTTCAAGGATGATGGGAGATGATTGAAAAAACTTATTCCATTATAGTGTGGACTGAGCTGATAGAGACATGTTGAGTGTTTGGGGACACAGAATTTTTCACCATATCTTGTAGAGTAATTATGGAAGTCATGGTTTTTAGAGAATTCTGATGAATTGCTTTTTGCATATAAAATGCATTTGTAGATATACAGTGTCATTCATAAAGTCGGCATCATATGGGAAAAACTTTTATTAATGACTTATTTTGAAATTCGAGTTGGACGTCAAGTTTTGCTTCGGAAAATATGAAAAATGGCCTACTCAATCGGGGTCACGTGACTTTCGCTACATGTCAAAAGTGACATTTCTTCAAATTAATCGCTGAAAGTAGGCTTATTTGTTCGAATATCGAAAAAGTTTACTTGAAAAAGTTGTTTCTATTTAAATTTTATTTTTGACTCCGATTTTATCTTTCTATTACATTTTTTAGATTTCGATATTTTTTTAAATTTTTCGAAATTTCTGTAATATTAAAAAAAATTGTTAATTCGATAAAACTACTTCATACCAGTAGCTTCATCATGTTACTAACTTTCAATTACTAATTATCACTAATTATCAACAAAAATATGATTTTCTTCAGAAAATGATAATCTCCTCTTCAAAATTCTGTTATGTTTGAGTCAAGCATTTAGAAATGAAATTCATTTGAATTTATTTTTTCAGTACTGAAAAGATCAGTTTAAATGAATTTCGTTTCTAAATGCTTGACGATATATCAACTTTGCATCAAACATAACAGAATTTGGAAGCGGGTATTTCTGTCCATAATCAGTGATAATAAGTAATTGAAAGTGAGTAGCATGAAAAAGCTACTGGTATGAAGGAGTTTCGTGGAAATACCAATTCTTCAAATATTACAGAAATTTCGAAAAATTAAAAAAAAAATAAAAATCCAAAAGTTGCAATAGAAAGATTAAATTCGGAAAGCATGTTTAAAATTGAAATAGAAACAACTTTTTCAAGTAAACTTTTTCGATATTCGAACAAATAAGCCTACTTCCAGCGATTGATTTGAAAAAATTTCACTTTTGACATGTAGCGAAAGTCACGTGACCCCGATTGAGTAGGACATTTTTTATCTTTTCTGAAGCAAAACTCGACGTACAACTCGAATTCCAAAATAAGTCATTAATAAAAGTTTTTCCCATATGATGCCGACTTTATGAATGACACTGTATATCGACGGCAATGTTAAAATTCCATGTTGTTTAAAATGTTCCCTACAGGTTTGCTTGAAATTTAGATTGAAAATCAATCTGATTATTTGTTTCTGTGCAATAAAAACTCTTTTCACATTTGGTACTTTACCCCACAGAACAATATTATATGATAGATGGGAGTATACAATTGAATAGTAGACTAGGAGAAGTTGTTTGATATTGAATACAGTCTTGAGTTGTAGTGTAGCATAGTATGCACAGTTTATTTTTTTACAAACAAAAGTCCAACTTACATTACTGTCAAGCATTATACCTAGAAATTTCGTTACAACGGATCTTCTCTTTCTACTTTCACAGTGAAGTTATTTGTTAATTTGTTCCTTGAAGAGAACTGCATGACCACAGTCTTAGTAGAGTTTACTATTAGGGAGTTTTTTCTGCACCACATAGTGAATTTTCCAGCTAATAGATTGAGCTTATGGACAAGTTCGGTGGATGATTCAGCATCTGCTGCCAGCATACAGTATGGTATAATCAGCGTATGTATGTAAAGGGAGGTCATTCACATATACAGGAATATTAGAGGTCCTAAAATGAACCCTTGAGGAACACCTTGCTCAACATCTTCGAATTCAGACATGCTGTTCTCAATGTTCACACATATTTTTCTCATATTAAGATAGGAGGATAACCAGTTTGAAAAATTTCCCCTAAAACCCAGTGCATAGAGTTTATTTTCTATAATTGATATATCTATGCAATCAAATGCTTTAGACAGGTCGAAAAATAGTGCGCCCACATACCGCTTTTTATCAAGTTGTTCAAGGATATAATTGAAAAAGCCTGTTGTTGTCTCCTCTGAAACCCTTCTGAAAATTTAAAAAGACTGACTGGAACCATCTCCAACAGAAAACCGATGGATGAGAGGATATTATGTTCATTGTTTTTGTGTTCATGTTCTCCTACCGATACTCTGAATAGCTATCGTCTATAAACGATGTTCTGATGACGATGACAGCTTGTCGTTCGTTACCGACTGTTAAATCGGTAGTGAATTCGATTCAAGAAAAATTATCGTTACCGTGTTATGAGATACTGAATAGGCCTGTAAAACATGAAAAAAAAATCATCAAGGATGATTTTTTTCAACGCATTCTCGAATAATTTCTAGGAGAGCGACTACTTCACCGAACAAGGCGAATTCCGCATCGACGCCGAGGGCTCCCCCACCCTCCTCGACTGTCTCATGTACAAGCTGAGCTACTACCGCTTCGGCGAACTCAAACTGGACTACAGAACGCCGGCTGGGTTCGACCGTACGCGCAACGCCGTCATCGGTCACAAGGACTTTCAGCTGACGTACCTCGAGGAGGCCTACACCACCGAGCATTGGTTGGTGAGGGTGTACAGGTGAGAGATGGGGAAAGAACAGGGGCGTACTTACTCAGATGCTTTCTAACCAAGATAATTTTTGCATTATTCATTTATTTCAATGATTACACCATTTTTATAAAAGGTGATTAATAATAGGAGCAATAAAAATTGCACTCATTGAAATTTAGCACTTGAGATTTACTCATTACATTAACTATGCATTCATAATTATTTTCACATTAGTTTTGAATTTACTTAGACTGCCACAGAATACATGATTTTAATGAACATAAAATTCAGCTCAATCTTCAAATAAAGAATGAATTCTTGAAATAAACTGAACAGAGATTATTCCGGCATTATCCAGAAGGATTTGGTTATCAATTCCTCTAGACGGATAGGTTCCATACACCTTCATCCATAAATATTTCGAAAAATTTCTTTGAATACTTCATAGAAGATTTTCAGTTCAGAAAAATTAAATTTTGTCTCACTTCTCATGGAAGCACCCCCGTATCTCACGTAAATATTGAGGTAGGGTTCTGAAATTTGCCGGAGGAAGAGAAAGTCCAAAGATAAAGTCAATTACCCGAGATACGGGGGTGCTTCCATAAAAAATGCGACAAAATTTCATTTTTCCTGACTGAAAATTTTCCAGGAAAAATTTGAATAGTTAGTAAATTGGGCGTCCTGATTCCAAATCTGAAGTGATTTTCGACCTATTTTGACTCCTAATATCATTTTCCGGAAATTGGAGTAGTTTCATGGCTGTTGGCGAGCAGTGTATATCACTGAAGATGACCCACACTTGGTCATAGAGTGCATTTTTGGTATATCTCTCGCTCCAGCAAATTTCAGGATCCTTACCCAATGATTACGTAACACAGGGGTGGTTCCATTTTAAATGGGTCACACAGTCAAAATCTCGAACAAATCTGGAAATTTCGATTTTGTGACTTCTAATCTCCTCAGAAAAAAATGATACGTCCCTGAAATTCCATTTTAATGCTTCTAGGGTGAAGAAACCGGATGAATTCAACAGACCGAGAATTCCAGTGGCCAACAGGGTCGTGAAATCTACGAACTACGTTTCCAAAAAGGTAAGTTCTCTGAAGAAAAACATGTTGTTATTGAGGTTATTTTGTAGAATTAATGGTAAAACTGCATTTATCACGCGATGGTTCTTTTTTTTTTTAAATGTTTTTGGTACTTACGAATTTTTGTCTGAAAAATACGAATTCGATAATGTAAATGTGAACAAACCATTATTTTTTGAGACATTTCACTATAAAGTTACGAATTTCACCTTCTTTTCCTCTTGTCTTTTGGATCGCATTTAGAACGATTTGCCCATCATTGGACAATTTATCACAATGTACAGGGTGAACAACTAACGAACGGCTGTCGGCCACATCTCAGTAGCGAATAATGATACAAGTTTGAGATAGAATAAATCTAATGGCATGCATATCATCACAGGATGTAATAGAGAAACTAAATCTCAACAGACCAACGGAAACCGCAACATGATAGCTACTTGAAAACGGAAGATATTAACTATCAAAGTTGGAAGACTGATAGATATGACAGCCGTTCTTAGTTGTTCACCGGGTAGGTACTTCAGTTACACATTTTTTCTATTATATGAGTCGACTAGAAATATGGTTTTCCTGCGATTTATCCATATTCAGTGAAAAGAAGAAAGAATTTCATTTAAAATAATGGCGTGTGTAATGTAATTCAATAGCAACCTGTTGACATTAGACATCTCGTATTTGGATTGACTATTGATTAAATGGCCGGCATCTGGTATGATTGTTCAATATGAAAAACTCGCGATAAAAATCATATTTTGTGTTGAATTTTCTATATGAAAACGTGTCATTGAAGTACATCATGAGTGTATAAAGGGTCCAATGACAAAATAAGAAGAGCAAGTAGCTGTAAATGCATTCAACACGTGGGGAAAAAGAAGCCGGAATTTCGAACTTCTTCATGAAATCTCGATAAACAGTGATTTGTTCACATTTTCATTATCAAATTCGCGTTTTTCAGAAAGAAATACGTAGATACAAATAAAAAATTTCGAAAAAAACACATCGCATGATAAGTGCAGTTTCACTGAACCCCAGAGTGATTATTTGAGATAAAATCATTTCACTTCATGAAATGAACACACATGTCCTTGTGGCCAACGACAAAACACAATTTAATAATTTAGGCAATAAGTTTCATGTTTTAACCCTTTCGAGCCTGTCGGTACAAATATGTACTAGTAAGAATCACGCAAAAACTTCAAGCAAATATTCATATTTTATATGGTTCCTCTATGTACCAGTACGTCTCCTACCTCCCTATGTAACTTTGATGCGCGGAGTTTCATTCGGGGTTATATGGTATGTACTTATTTGTGCCGGGCCACGTTCTACGCTCCGTTTTCAGTTAATTTTGACGGGAAAAAGTGACAGAATTACGGATATTGTGTGTGTGCACTCAGTTGAAGGTAGATTGCGAAACACTGGTGGAAATTACAAAAAAAAAACAGATGTTTTCTACAGTGGTACACACATGTACAGTCGTATTGAAAAAAAAAGCGTACAAGTATATTGGAGGGAGAAATTAACGTCATCCCATTTGCGTAAAACGGGCTATCGGGAATGAATTTTTACCAAATGTTGACAGTAGAGTAATCATAGGTTCTCAAAAACACAAAGCATTGGCTGAGCCAATTTTACACAACGAGAACTAGAATGCCGAAATCTTTTATGTTTAATACTTGTACGCTTTTTTATTGAATACGACTGTACATTAGAAAGGACGCCGGTTCTATCTCGGAAACTATTTGCCGCACAGGTTTCGGAAGAAAATATTTATGATGGAAGTGGCCTAGAAAAATCTCTGGAAATTATTTTCAAGTTTCCAGGACATCCGCTAGAGGGCATAATTGCATTGGCCGACTTGAAAAACGATTTTTTATGAAAAGTTGATACATCAAGACATATCAGAAATACTTCTTCCATGTTCTCGAGTTGATTTCGAATCATTGATCAAAAAAAATTGCGCTAGCTCTTTAGATAAAAGAGGGAGGGAAGGATGAATAGTACTCTGGAAAAACTCTTATTACCACAGTTTGGTGTAACGGAATTAAGCGATCTTGGTCTCATTATAAGGGGTTTTTTCAGATCTTCCCGATGAATCACGAATCAAGTCGATTTAAATCCCGAGGTAGCCGCTAGATGGCATCGTTTGAAAAATCAGCCGATTTGCCATTTTTTTTCGAGAATTTCAAATGGAACCATATATTTTTCGTGCTATGATATGAAAGTAAAGTGAACGAGAAGAAAAATGGTGAAAACCGGGAGTAAAAAACTTGTTAGTTATTGTAAGGTATATAGAGGTGCATATCAAATTGAACAATAGGAATTGATTCAAGATAAACCGCAAATCCTTTACATGAGATTTCATTAGTCGTTTTTATTGTTATTAATGGTTTAACGGATTTTGTTTGATTAGTTTTTGGTGTGAATATTATTTCAGTTTGGTATTTTCATATAATTTGTTTTTTTTGCAGAATACGAAACGTAAGAAGGGTTTGATCAAGAATAAGCCAGTCATAGTGAAAGGAAAGAGGCTGTCTTCAAGGCAGTGAAGATTTTCGAAGAAGCTTAAATATTTTTGTTGTTACAGATTGCATTATCATTACAAATCATTCGACCCATGATGAACTGAATAATACAATGAAGTTGAGAAAGTTTGCTTTTGTTTTCAAGTTCCGAAATTAAAATTTGGATGTCCGTTCACTGTGTGGAAGTTATATATATTTTTTGCACTTCTTAGTGTCTAAATTGTCCAATATTTTGTTTAAATACATTTAATGAGTTTTTAGAGTTTTATCACTGAGCATTTTTCCACTTCCTGCAAGGATCTAAGATCTGCTCCTTCCTATCTCTTGGTTTACTAGAAAATTGCATTCTGAATTCCAGGTACTAGATCAGCTCATGTAATATTGAAGGTACCAAAAGGGAAGGAAAGGGGTCAAAATTTACGTTTTTTTTTTCTTTTTTTTTTTCATCAAATCTACAGTGTGTCCCATTTACCATGCTCACCATGGGTATCTTTTTAACGGTGAGAGATACGAAGTCGGTTAAATGACACCAAATGTGGAGTATGTTAAGGCCAACTATAATGTGAAAAAATATTTTGATAAAATCTATTCATTTTTGTTTTATACGCAAAAAACAGATTTTGATCATTTTCATGTCTCCTCCGTAACTTCTTTATTTATGAAAATATTCGAATAGGAATTTCACATCCTCATGGCAATTTTCCAGTGATTTCGAAAAAAATATGAAATTTATACCAACTCTTCTAGAATTTGAGATATCAGCACCAACTTTAGTTTTTCAAATGTAGGTCATAGCTCACTATGACTTAGTTACAAATTACTTTTTTTTCTCTTACAGATGATATGTCGCAGTAATAGTTTTGTGTTGATAACAACGGAGTTATCGTCATTTATGCAGAAACAAAAAAATCATGATCTCCGACCTCAAAAACCCCTACTTACCAATTTTGAATGGAATCGGACCAAATCTTGTCCGCCATCTTGGAGCAGCCATTTTTTTTAATTTCAACAAAAATTCCATAACTCCGATTAACTTGAAATTTGGCTGATGTTCATAATTTCGGTGACAATCTAGAAAAAACTGTTGCTTGAGTCTTCAAAGCGTTGAATTGTACGAGGTTCAAATTGCCCCATTGTTGGATCCTTTCCAAATTGTCATTGACGGTCTGGATCTGTTGGAAACGTAAATGTAAACCTAGTAGGCAACCTAGTACGCGAGGATAGGTTCGTTCAATACTTTTGCCTACTAACTACCTAACTAGGTTGTCTAGAACGACAATGACCGTCACTTAGTGAGGCCTAACCAGCGCCTCGTAACGACAAGCGCTTATAGCGCTATAAGGCGACCGCGTATTTCGATTTTAGTTTTAGATCATCATTGAGCCGATTTTGCTGTTTTTTGAAGGGCTTCCGGTTAAAAAAGGATGCCAGTCGTCAACTGAGCCCTTCTTCGCACCCCATTCGATTTTATTTTGATTGACATGCCGTTTGTTACAATTACCTATATTTATCTTGGAGAATTCCTATTACCTGAAAAAATAACCAGTTTTTTTTTTTACTTTCTGTTGTTAGATTTTTTACCAAAAAGTGGATCGTTACACTTGAAACCGTAATTTTTAAGGGTAAAACTGCATTTATCATGCGATGGTTGTTTTGTTTGGAAAATTTGTTTCGGTACTCACGTATTTTTGTCTGATAAACCGAATTTTATAATGAAAATGTGAACAAACCACTATTTATTGAGATATTTCAAGAGAAAGTTCGAAATTTCGCCTTCTTTCTCCCCTTGTGTTGGGGGCATTTGAAGCTACTTGCTCTTATTTTGTCATTGGACATTTTTATATAGAAAATTCAACAGGAAATATGATTTTTATGGCGAGTTTTTCATATTTAGTGAACGTGAACAAGCATTCCAGATGACGACCATTTAATCAATAGTCAATCAAAATACGAGATGTCAAATGTCAATAGATTGCTTTCGAATGACATTACACACGCCATTATTTTGAATGATATTCTTCCTTCTTTTCACTAAATATGGATTAATCTCAAGAAAATCATATTTATAGTTGAATTATATATAAATTGTCCAATATGATGAAAAAAGAAGGGAAATTTGTTCTAAATGCCATCCAGAAGACAGGTGAAAAAGAAGGTGTGAGCTTTGGAACTTTTTAGTCAAATATCTTCATGATAAATATCATGATAAATGCAGTTTTACCTTTTTAAGTAGAGTGTTTGTAGTTCATGTTAATATGATAGTTGCAATTTGATCATTGGAATGAATTCTGCATTCATTGCCACGAGGCAAATGACCGTTTTCAGAAAGGAATTTGAGAATGAGAATTAAAAATGCCCGTATATTATGAACATTCAAGAAAATTTCCTCGAATTCAGAGATGATTTTGTTGACTATAATATACGCATAGAAAACTAACTGCACAATCAAAGCTTTTCCATTTTTCCTCTACTGAACTTAGATGGAGTAAAACCCTCGCGGTGAATTGCATATACCCACATTTTCGATAGCTCCTCGTCCAACGGGAAACTAAAAGCATGAACTTTTGAACCACCCACATAATTCCCCCGACAAAAGGGAACACAACACCTGAAAGGCATTGTTATTTCGCCGATCACAACACAAAATATTTCACAAAACAGTAATTTTTCCGCCAACTATTTTGATGAATAAACAACAAAAGAATTCGGGACCGTTTCAAAAACATACGTGAATCACCGATGAATTAACACGAACTGACGCGTTAGTCGACAAGCGATAAAATAAAACACTGGCCTTTCTTGGTGACGTCACGAGCTGTTTACGTCAGAGTCTGCTGGCCTTGTTGTATCGGTGGTAACGCAATGACTCAGTTAAATTTTGAGTCCTTCAAGAGGAATCACAGAGGAAAAAGCTATTTTCAAAAAAGACTAGTTTATTCACTCTTAGTCACATCACAAGGACACTGTATCAACATTGACTATTGGCTGAACATAGGCGTACTTCCTCCTCTTGGTACTGGGCACCACTTTCCGCTGACCAACATCGACTACCAGCGGTTCAATGGCGACTTGATCCATCAAATCGATCGGTCGCACGGAACCGAAAAAATCCGTCACAGGAACCTCGTCGGGGTTCCTTTGGAAAAGGTCCTTTCTCACACCCACCGTGGATATGCATACACTCTTAGGGCACACTTTCAGCTGGAATGTTAATTTAATATTTTCATTTACGTTGACATGCAAGAATACTTAGAGCACACATCATAAACGTAGAGCACACATCAGAAGGATTGCAACTCTTTAGAATGACACATGACACCTACAATTGTTTTAACATATGTGAGAAAAGTGAATTTGAGGATGATTAAGTCAAGAATTTCCTATGCCTAACTCAAACCATCATCAAGTTATTTAATAATAAATTGAAAGTAAAAAAAATAATGGAAAGCTTGTATTTAAACGCTCTAAAAAGAATAAAATAAAATGTTCCTTTATAATTTTAACTATCAACTTATAACCTCATTATACACAATTTATATGATCATTAAAGCTTGTCGCGCGATTTACCTGTGTGAATAAACTAGTAGTAGAGTGCCAAACGAACCGTAAGTCGCTTAGATCAAAAGTTGGTGGGAAATAGGAGGTAAAAAGCTGTGACATGGCTAGAATTGTTACCTACCATCTCCAGATCATGGATCCACTTGTCGTCAAAAAATCGTCCTGTGCGTTTGGGGGGTAGGGGGTAACTTATAAAAAAATATGGATTTTTTTTATTCGTGGAAAATATTGATGGGTTCCAGAACTTCCACCCTGTCGAATCTTGATTTCATGTGACAAGTAGAACAAATTATAGAAAATTTTGAAATTCACCATTTACATTACGATATATGAGAAAATCATATTTCAAACGGCTATAACTCGAAACTTGTAGGAGGAGAAAGGAGTTGACCATCTTTTCCTCAAATGAAACATTTTCTCGATGATTCTGTACTCTGCTGGAAAGGAATCTTCAACTTCAAGACATATTCAAGATCAGTGTCTGAATTGCTAGTACTTTCCATCTTTTATCTAGAGAAACATATATTTCATGATAAATTTACAATAATAGATTTCGTTAGCTAATCAATACTTATTTAATTATTGAAACAGAGCACACAGTACCAAATATCGAATAATTAATTCACAATAAGTCACCATTAAATGCAATGGTCAACGCCTCAATGTTGATGTGTATAACGAGAGCGTATGGAACCATGATAGCCGCGGGTATTGCGGGGAGAATAGGGGTACGAATGCGGCGAAACGCGTTCGTCCGTGGTACCTGCATTGCATTATGATTTTCTCAATATCTTCCTTATTTATGCTTCGATTTTCAAAATCGAAAAACAATTCGCATCTTGAAACATAGGCGCATCGACATTATTTGAAGTATTTTTTTGATAAACGTTGTAGTTACTGAGATAATGCGAGGTATATGGAAAACAATTAAACGAGAATTTACAAGTTTTGAGTTATAGGCGTTTGAAATATGATTCTCTCGTATATCGTAATGTAATTAGTAAATTTCAAAATTTTCCATAATTTGTTCTACTTGTCACACGAAATCAAGATTCAAGAGGGTGGAAGTTCTGAAACCCATAAATATTTTCCACGAATAAAAATATAATCCATATTTTGTTATAAATTACCCCCTACCCCCCAAACGCACAGGACGATTTTTTGATTGATTGATTTTTCTAGCCATGTCACAGCTTTTTACCTCCGATTTCCCACGGGGTGAACGATAGGATTCGATTGGCACTCTACTATAGTATTAATTAATTTTGTAAAATCTGCTGTGTTCAAATTCTTAAAATTTTAATTGAATTAAATATTGATCATCGCGACAAGCTTTTATGATCATATTAATTGTGTATAATGCGGTTATAAGTTGATAGTTAAAATTATAAAGGAACATTTCATTCTTTTTAGAGCGTTTAAATAAAAGCTATTTATTAAACATTTTTTTCACTTTTGATTTATTGTTTAATTCTTAGTTATCGCTGACGCATCATTGATGCAAGGTCGTTTGCCGGTTAATTTCGAACAGTCCATCTCTTCAATAAGGAGACCTTCTAATGATTTCACCCTCACCCTACTTAAAGCCACATATGCTTGACCAGCAGCGAGGAGCTTCGAGCCTAAGTAAATAACGGCGTAGTCGACA